CAGGTAACTGATCTTGAACGAACTGTCTCGAAATACGTGTTCTTTCTCTCTGTTTCCAGCTACTCCATGCACCTCGGTTAATTGCAATTCAAACAGTGGCGGTGGCATGTGCACTCCACTTAGTGATGGAACAGTCAATTACAAATGCACAGGTTGTTTTAATGGTGTGGATGTCTCCAACGGACCCTGCCCAGGTAACTGATCATCAGCGAAGTGTCTGAGAACACGTATTCTTTCTTGTTATTTGCAGGTACTTCGTGCACACTAAACCCCTACACTAGGATGTGTGTCGGTGTGTGAGTGTGAGTCACTTCTTTTTCTTCATCATTACTTAAAGCTACCCTCACCTTTCTTTCACGATAAATAAATGAACATTCTTAACATAACCTCACCATTCAAAGATACCTAATAAAATGTCATCATACAGATAGTGATTATACATCCCACCCATTCTCTAAACCCTACAGGTAACACCCACAGACACTACACGACTACCGTCCAAGACACTTACAATTAGAATATACAGGAACTTCGTTTGAATCTTTAATTTATGGTGTCTCTATTCAAAGACTATGTTTCTTTATAGTACCTTTGTGTCAAAACAATGTACAAGACACGGGTGAAACTGATGTTGATTGCGGTGGTACAACTGGGTGTAATAAATGTGCCGACACAAAGACGTGCAATGTAGACACAGATTGTGTGAATTACAAGTGTCTTCAGAACCAATGCATTCGTAAGTGACTAGCATAAAAGAAAAGAGTGAGCAGTAATGTTTCATCATATCTTTCAGCACTCTGCAACAACATGGTAAAAGATCCCACTGAGAGTGATGTTGATTGTGGTGGTACAAGTGGATGTGGTCCATGTGCTGATAATTTAATATGCACTCAAGACGCAGATTGTGTCAATACCAAGTGTCTCAACACCAAATGCGCTCGTAAGTGACTATCATAAAAAAAGCGAGTAAGCATTAATGTTTCATCATATCTTTCAGCACTGTGTCAAAACCAACGAAAAGATTCGACTGAAAGTGATGTTGATTGCGGTGGAACAAGTGGATGTGGTAGTTGTGCTGATATGTCAACGTGCACTGGAGACGCAGATTGTCTTAATACCAAATGTCTTAACAACAAATGCGCTCGTAGGTGATTATTGTGATGGATACAATTGAGATCTAATGTATTCAAATATTTTTCAGCCCTCTGTCAAAACCAGCGAAAAGATCCCACTGAAAGTGATATTGACTGTGGTGGTACAACTGGGTGTAATAAATGTGCTGACACGAAGACGTGCAATGTAGACACAGATTGTGTGAATAACAAGTGTCTTCAGAACCAATGCATTCGTAAGTGACTAGCATAAAAGAAAAGAGTGAGCAGTAATGTTTCATCATATCTTTCAGCACTCTGCAACAACATGGTAAAAGATCCCACTGAGAGTGATGTTGATTGTGGTGGTACAAGTGGATGTGGTCCATGTGCTGATAATTTAATGTGCACTCAAGACGCAGATTGTGTCAATACCAAGTGTCTTAGCAGCCATTGCGCCCGTAAGTTACTGCCTCATTCGAGAAGGCTGACCACCAATGTATTAACATATTTTTTAGCACTCTGTCAAAACCAACGCAAAGATTCGACTGAAAGTGACGTTGACTGTGGTGGCACAAGTGCATGTAGTAGATGTACCGATACGTTAAAGTGCACCGCAGACACGGATTGCGTGAATAACAAGTGTCTCCAGAATAAATGCATTCGTAAGTGACTGTCGTAGTGTAAGAGAGTGAGTATTAATCAATTCCCATCTCTTTCTAGCGCTTTTGTGTCAAAACGGTGTACAGGACACGGGCGAAACCGATATTGACTGTGGTGGTACGACTGGATGTGCTACATGTGCTGACACGAAGATGTGCACTGTAGACGCAGATTGCGTCAATAACAAGTGTCTTCAGAATAAATGCATCCGTAAGTGACTATTGTAGCGCCAATGATTGATCATTAACCAACTCTGATGTCGTTATAGCACTTTTGTGTCAAAACGGTGTACAGGACACGGGTGAAACCGATATTGACTGTGGTGGCATGACTGGATGTGCTACATGTGCTGACTCAAAGACGTGCACTGTAGACGGAGATTGCGTGAACAACAAGTGTTTGCAGAGCAAATGCATTCGTAAGTGGCTATCGTAATCTAATTAAGTTAGCATGAATCTTTGATGTTGTCTTTATAGCACTTTTGTGTCAAAACGGTGTACAAGACACGGGTGAAACTGATTTTGACTGTGGTGGTAGCACTGGGTGTGTTACATGTGCTGACACGAAGATGTGCATTGCAGACACAGATTGTGTCAATAACAAGTGTCTTAGCAGCCATTGTGCGCGTAAGTGACTGTCGTAGAGAAAAAGACTGAGCACTAATTTATTATCATGTCTTTCAGCACTCTGTCAGAACTTAGTGCAAGATCCCAATGAAAGTGATGTTGATTGCGGTGGCACAAGTGCATGTAGTAGATGTGCGGATGGGTTGATGTGCACTGTAGACACAGATTGCGTCAATAACAAGTGTCTCCAGAACAAATGCATCCGTGAGTGACTATCATAGTGTAAGAGAGTAAGCATTAATCTATTTTCATGTCTTTACAGCACTTTTGTGTCAAAACGGTGTACAGGACACGGGTGAAACTGATGTTGACTGTGGTGGTAGCACCGGGTGTGCTACATGTGCGGACATGATGGTGTGCATTGTGGGCACCGATTGTGCGAGCAATAACTGTGTTATGAGTACGTGTGCAGACTCATGCTTTTCTGGAGATGATAATGTTACATTGGCTGATGGAAGCCTAAGAGCTATACGTGATCTTCAGGTTGGCGACTTAGTTTGGACAATATCCGATGATACAAAGACGTTGGTTTTATCTGAAGTTTTTGTTATGCCACACAATGTACGAAACAGAATAGGTAAATCTTCATATTCTTCAAACCTTGTCGTTTGTGCGTTCTGTACTCAACCTATTTGAGTATTGTTAGAAGTTCCTGTAGAAGCCATTTTTAATTGAGAATAACTATTGACTTGAACAAGTTTCAAGATCTTCACATAATGCTTAAGTCAGTATTTAAGAGTATACTTTTATGTCAAATAATAACAACGCACTATGCGTAAAAAAACCGTAGTATAATAAAACTTTAGAGAGTTTATGAGAGTACGATGTATATTTTCATAAATCGGTTTATATATCCTGTTTAAGTATATGAAAGAATTTACATAAGTGTTTATGAAGAAATCTCTCAGCCTCATATCCACTAAACACAAAAGGAAACAAACGGTACTGAACGAAACAATAGCATATAGTTTTTTTTAAAGCATTTATTATGTAAATCAAGATAATATCTTCAGTAGAAAACATCAGTGTATCCTTAAAAACTTCAAAGAATGATTATTATTAAGTATCTTACTTATCGTTTAAACGTATCCTCGATTTAGAATTGGTTTTAGATTTTAGCAGACTCCCTCGATAGTAAATTTTGTTGTTCATACCTTTTCTACAATTGATAACACATTTCTTCGGCTAATTTAGTTCGTTTCTACACGGTCGAAACAGTTACTGGTCATCGCTTTAGCCTTACTAGTACACACTATGTTCGTGTTTCACATTTTGAATACTTGTCAGCTTCTCAGTTGATATTGAATCATAGTTTGTATGTAATCGATAAAACAGCTGGTAATATTAGAGAAGCTCGCATTCGAAGCATTATAATTGAAGACAAGCAAGGCGCTTTCAATCCATTAACATTACATGGGACACTTCTGGTCAATGGAATTTTTGCTTCATCATATACGAGAGCATTTGGTTGGTCACATGAAACCTTTCAAAATATGGCCACACCGTTTCGATTATTGTATTATGTAACCAAATATCTAGGTATTCATCAAGCCATCTGGGCAAACAATGATGAATTTGTTTGGGCAGCGAAACCATTTCTTTATCTTGATAAATTAAATTACTATATCCCATTTACATCAACGATTATTTGTCTTTTCGTCACCTTTCATTTAATATACGTTACCTACAATTTTATAATAAGGAAATGTAACCAATTAACAAACTTTATGAACTGGAAAAACTTTTAATCATTATTTTAACTCATACTTCTTTTATTGATTTAATCAAAAAGTGATTTGGACTTATTTTCATACGAAATATTTGACAATATATGTGACGTTATTTCTAAGTAGGAGAAATGAATAGTATATACAGCTGCTATTCATTACCGTCTGCTCTTCTACTTTCTTTCTTTCTTTTATATTTTATGACTTTGGTATTTTTTATTAATCTTCTCATATATTTTCCTAACTCATTTTTTTTTGAAACTGTTCGTTAAAGCTGTGTTCTGGTTGTTATTCTTCGAGGGTGTGGGCGTGTGCGTCTCTGTTCCTTGTTGATATAACGAGAACAGTCACCCACGCTCACACCCAAAGAAGTGCTTTTCATCAAGTCTTACTTCTTACATCTTCACTTATGTTATAATAATCATTTCATGAAATATAATCCGAAAAAATGAAATGCTACAATTTTTAGCATCCACTGCATCTCAGTGGTTTATCAATGGCGACTGCTACATGTTAAAGAGAATTTTTTTCTTATGTAGGTTCATTCTCATAATATATCAGTGCTAAGTTATATGTGCCTAAACAAATTTTTTTCTTGTTCAAGGCAGTATTGTCAGTATGCTAATGCTAAGCAATACACCACTGTGATAAAACTGGATCCGGAGATTGTTAGATATAACCGGGCGCTCATGATCTTAGACCCGACGGATATTGTATAATGAAGAATTCATAATATATTATAAAATATTTCATATTGTTTTCAGTTGACACATGTAATGATTGCAAAGACTGAAATAAAATGTCTTTACTTGCAGATTTTTCATAACAATATAAATGACTGATGTATTAAAAATTTCATAGGAATCAAGTTTCAAAATGATTGGTCTAATTATGTTTAAATTAATGTCATGATGAATAATATTTACAGTTAGATAATTTCTTTCGATTATACAAGCAACTTGAATGAACAAATATTTTATCTGTTATAGGTTACTCTCGTTTGAAAAATCTTTCCTATTATTTACTTAAGATCAAGATCCAACATAATATTGATATTTTGTTGAGAGACAGAGAGAAAGTAACTCTTAAGCAAAAGAAATAGTAAATTGAAAGTAGTTTATAAATCATTACTGTATAGTTGATTAATTTAAGAATATTGTCGACGTATTTTTTATTTCATATGAATACATAGATATAACAGATAGATCCAGTCGACAATTTAGTCTTCTTTTCATGTTATTATCACACATGACAAATGTCTTTTGCTTTTGTAATTATATTTTTAATTTTGATAAATTATAAATTTAAATAGTTTAAGTCAGTTACTAAATTATTTCTACTACACTTTTAGACTATAACTTACGCATATCAAAGGTTTTTTGTATAAAAAATCTGAAAGAAAAGAATGATTCATCAAGTCTAGAGTATCAATTTTCTTCTTTCTTGGAGAACTTTAAAATAAATATGATCAGATCATTTCACAGTTTACTGTCAAAATATATTTTTCATTATTTCGGAGCATTAATTGAGTTCTATGATTTTGTATTGTATTTAGACATACAAAGAAATCTCCGATATTTAAATCAACAATATAGGTTTTCTTCTTTCATCGCCCCCATCGATCTTCATTTATCAGTATTTATATATTCTTGTAATTGCAGATCAAATTCAATGTTCAATATAGGAACAGTAACAAGAAACTGTTTTTTTAATTATTCTTGTTGTGTTTGTAATGAATACTTACTTGCTCATTTCCTTTATTTTTCTTTGTAACATATGATTTTGAAAATATCATATATTGCAGTACTTGTCATGACTTTAACGAAATTATTTAGATAAGATATCTCTCACTGGAAAAATCAGAACACTGTGATATATGAAATATAATTAAAACTGTTATTTAATATGTTGTTAAATAAGAGAGAAAGACTAGTTAAGAGCAAGCATTGTGTTTTCTTTATATTTAAACACATCACAATATTTTACTGTTCATTCTGAAATCGGATTGAGACAATGATAGATATCAACAAACGAGCGTTTTGCCATTTTACACTCAAAGATATCTTAAGTATTATATCTTCAGTTGCTATACCCATAGCTCTTGCTATTTATACTTCAATTGGATCTGAACAACAAAAACAACAAGCTGAGAAGAAACAAAAGTTTGATTTTGAACAATCAAGAGAATTAAGACAACAAACACTTTATGATGAATTTTTAAATAATATTTATAAATTAGATAAAGATGGTTATCTTAATGACATAAAAAATCCATGGGCATTTGCAAATGCATATTATCGTGCTGCTCATCGCCAATGGGATACAATACGTAATGCAGATGTTATACAATTTCTTAAAGAAAAACAATTAATTGGTAGAAATAATTGTAGTAATGGATGTCGAACGACAAAATTAGATGATATAATTCGTTTGAATGAATTAAGTTTTGATAATGTACGTCTAACAAGTGAAACTGGTATATTAAATAAGTTGAATTTACAATGCATTTCTTTTGATCAGATATCAATATCAAATGGGGAATTTTTGTCTGTTAATTTAAATGGTGTGTCATTTGATGGAGCACGGTTAGATAACGTGAAATTTGATGGTTCATCTTTAGTTTGTGTTAGTTTTAATGGTGCAAATCTGACAGGTGCACACTTTTCAAACAGTGATTTATCAGGAGCTAAAATAACGGAAGATCAAATAAAGCAGGCATACTTTTATAATGTAACTATGTCAAACGGAAAGAAGAGTGAAACTACATCTTCAACAACAACAAAAAAACCTATGACACAAATAACAACAATGCTAAAAACAAAAACATCCACAGCATCATCGTTATCCTCAACAACATCATTAATAATAGCTCCATCAACACCATTGATAACAGCTCCATCAACATCATCATCATCATTATCATCAACAACATCATCGACATCGACATCCTCATCAACAACAGCATCAACAACAATAACAACAACATTAACAACATCAACAACAACAACAACATCAGTCGGTCAGTAGTATGCTACACGAATCATAGTACCTTTTTTTAGTTGCCAATCGATCAATCGTTCTTCAGTTTGAGACAGTATACTCTTAGAAGTTCCTGTTTCTTATTTGCTGAATATTTCTGATGATAAGTAATTTTCAAAGTTATACATACTATATCTTTGTAGTATTACTAAAATAGTTTCATTTGCTTTTATTTTTAAGAGATAGATTTGTGTAGAATTTTATACCGAATGAAATCCAGAATCTTTTAAGGGAGAACTCAGGTCAAAGCTACGACAATTGATGGTAGATCTACAAAATACAAAATTTACTCAGTTTTAACTTTATATGTAGATATCAAACTTTATATATTAGATTTTACTTTTCTATAAAGGTTTAGATGACTAAAGATATTAAGGGAATTAATATGTTCTGTAGAAAAGTAAAAGAAGACAAATTTTATTTCTTCTGGATCCCTCTGGTTCAGTTTAAACTTCTTGTATAAACTTCAGAAAAAATCAGTCATTCTCATTTCATCTTTCGAGGTATTCTATGTCTGTTCGTTTTAGTGAAGACGTAATTTAGTGATTGTTGCAAACTGTTAGTTGATCTCAATATGTTTTCGTCAAAATATGTTTAGAATGTCACAAAATTATTTTTATATTGAAAAGATATTACACAGAATGATATCACATGAAAAAACGAATGTATTAACTGAGTTGTAGATTAATAACTTTTCTAATGTCGAAATAGATTAAAACGTCGTTAATGACGATAAATAGAATCGGAAAAAGGATGTAAGTAGCGGGATTCTAAAAGATTACAATTAGTCATAAATATAGCGGAATGATTTTATTGGTTGGTTGGTTTAATCTTGGTTGAAATCCTGTTTTTTGAATAATAAAAACTGTAATATAATTTTTTTTCTTGTTTACCAGCCTGTAATAGTACATTTCTAAATCAAACTATTTACTCACTTGGTTTAAGCCCATATGCAGTAGCCGTAGCCGATGTGAACAACGACAATCAACCAGATATTGTTACTGCAAATTGGGTTTCGGGCACCGTCAGTGTTCTTCTCAATGCAGGCAACGACAATTTTTCTTCTCAAATTAATTACTCAGCTGGTTCACAATCATATTCAGTAGCAATAGCCGATGTGAACAGTGACAATAAATCCGATATTATTATCGCAAATGGTGGTACACACACCGTCAGTGTTCTTCTCAATACTGGCAACGGAAGTTTTTTTCCTCAAACTACTTACGCAGTTGATTTAGGTCCACAATCAGTAGTAGTAGTCGATGTAGACAGTGACAATAAACCCGATATTGTTACTGCAAATAGAGGTTCAAACACCATCAGTATTCTTTTCAACATTGGTAACGGCACTTTTCCTCCTAAAACTACTTACACAGTTGGTGCAGAACCAGTGTCAGTAGCAGTAGCCGATATGAACAGCGACAACAAACTCGATATTGTCACTGCAAATATGAAATCAAATACTGTCAGTGTTCTTCTCAATACAGGCAACGGCACTTTTTCTCCTCAAACTACTTACGCAGTTGGTGCAATGTCAGTGGCAGTAGCAGTAGCTGATATAAACAACGATAATAAACCCGATATTATCACTGCAAATCAAGCTTCAGACACCATCACTGTTCTCCTCAACAAAGGTAATGGCAGTTTTTCTTCTCAAATTAATTACGCAGTTGGTAGAAGTCCACCATCAGTAGCAGTAGCCGACGTGAACAACGACAATCAATCAGATATTATCACTACAAACCAAAATTCAAATACTGTCAGTATTCTTCTGAACACAGGCAACGGCACTTTTTTTCCTCAAACTACTTACGCAGTTGGTGCAGTTCCACAATCAGTAATAGTAGCTGATGTGAACCGTGACAATAAACCTGATATTATCGTTACAAACTTTAGTGGCAATACCATCAGTATTCTCCTACACTGTTGAAATTTAATTCTTTATCATACTCAACATCCTTATTGCCATTTTCTTACTTTACCAGCAATATTGTTCCATAATTAACCACTTAACAATATGGAGCAAATAACAATGTTCGTTCGATACCAAAACTTTTTATAAAACTTTCTCATTATCAATATTTCATTAAAACTCATTAATGCTTATACTTTCAGATCCTCGTACTATTTTTTTTTGTTTGAATCAATGGAGACCAAACTGATGGGTGTGAGTGTGGGTGTAAGGGTAAGTGAGAGCCTGAGTCAAAACAAGAGACATCTACACTCAAATACACACCCACACTCAAAATTTCGTTACACTATAAGATGAAACTGTGATTTATTGTTATAAGTAACTTACATTTAGAAATGAAATTATAAAAAGAAATAAGTTCTTCTAATGTATTTCTTATGTTTAATCTTTATTCACATTTTTATTCATTACATGTTGGTTAACTTCGACATATATTCTTTTTCGATGAAGCCAGATTGATAACACATTTGCATTGAATAAATATTCACCATAATCCCTATTTGAAACTTTCTAATCGAATACCTTAATACATCATTGTCTCTGTAAACAAAATCGAAATTTATTTAATGAATATCTTCTTAATTTAAAAATATATATAAATAAATAGAACATTATAATCAATAAACAAACTTCACCGAATAAAACGGCCAATAGAAATCCTACTAAATCAATATTAATCAAAAATTGAAGAAATATAGTTAAATAGGGTGTGAGTGTGGATGTGACATAAGAATAACACCCACACCCATGGTATTGAAGAGGCTGTAAGAGAAGTGGTTAAAAGTCAAGAAAACACAAAACGCGAAACCTGTTAGCTCACGCACAACGCTTTCACTGATTTTGATTCAGCACAGAAATAGTTAGCTTTACTAGCAATCATAAAAACCAGGACTAACATAATAAGGACTATTACAAAGATTAAGAGAACAATAACCAGTATAAGAATAGAGAATACCATTATATAAACAATAAGTACTACCAAAAGAAGTAATAGTACAACCATAAGTAGCACTATTATAAATATAAAAACCATAATAACCACAATAATTACAACTGCAAGGGGCACCGGTGGTAGTAGTAGTTGTTGCGGTTGTTGAAGTTGTCGAGGTTGAGGTTGTTGAGGTTGTTGAGGTTGATGTTGTTGATGTTGTTGACGTTGTTGATGTTGTTGATGTTGTCGACGTTGATGTTGTTGATGTTGTTGATGTCGACGTTGTCGATGTGCTTGTAGTGGTTGTTGTTTTTGGGATTGATATCAAAGCGACAAGCATTGCAGCAATACTCGCACAAACAAGAAAAATACCTAGCAATGAGAGCACCAAACAGATGGGCGAACATCGACAACTAAAACAGCTAAATGGAATTTGTTTGAAATTCTAATAAAAAATATAACTTACGATTTTTTTTGGTTTCTGTTCAATTGTTGGTACTGTCGTCTACCTTTAAGGTTTGTTCGATCTGATTCACCATCAGTTGCCTGCATCATATTTCCAGCTGATCCAACGTATGGGTGATGCACTTCTGGCAATAATTGAAACTTTCGATTTGTGTAAACCTAAAAGTAATAAATTTTAAGGTAATAATAATATGCTAATGATTTCCTTGGAAACAGTTCGGAACTGGATGCATTCGTCAGAAACATATAGCCGCATACAAAAGATGTAGCTTACAAAATGGAAGCAATTCAAGACTTGATGCACAGGTTCGTTGAAATGCTGACTCAGAGTGTTCAACCGAAATGTAGGTGCTTGAAAAGCTTGACTAAATGCATCCAACGAAAATCAATCGACACAATCTTTAATAGTACAAGCGATATGTATATTTTGTTTGACACCCTGTACAGTGTATGAAAGTTTTGAATTAGTTTGTAATTCATTTCCAACATAAACTTGGAAGCCCTGTCAGTTCCTAGTAATACTTGTACAAAACTAGAAGTTTTACTATTTTCTACAGAAATTCAATGACGATGTATCTACTTTAAAATGATAGAGCTTCTGGCATTACAAACGAAGGAATTTATTAAAATATTTTTCAGTTTGTCACTTACTGTAAGGGGAAGGAGTGCAACTTTCTATCCTGATATATTTCAACAGCTTTTTAAGATTATGTTTCATAAAATACTTAGGCGTATAAAATTTAATAAACAACGTGTTTCTCTCATTCTATAAATCTTACATATGATGGCAATGGAGGACGTCGTTTAGGCACTGAAGATACGAAGACGGAGGATTTATCCATCATTAGACTTCGTTCTCCTTGAATTGCGGCAGACTGCAGGTTATTATGCTCATAGCGAGTAGTCGAAATAGTTGACATCTATTAGAAACAAAAGAGAAAATCTAATTTCATTCAAAATTTCAAGAATATAACCGGGAACAAATTGTATTCTGGATTGACAGAATTCTTATTGATCCGAGTAATTCTAGTTGTTATTGATCGCATAGCTATATGAGTAGCAATAAACAATTTCGTATCTTTTACCAGTGAACGATGATACTACATTAAAATAATTCCTAAGAATGAAAATAAAAAATGATTTACGAACTTGACGAGAAATGACGATTATCAGTTTGTGTTATAATCTAAATGTCTGATGTTGTATTTCGAGAGAAAAATGAGCGTTTGTATTTTATTTGACTAATGCATTGGATTATATATTTCTTCCAGAGAAGAGAAACAAACAATGTCTAACTATACATTGTATGGGTTTCTTCAGAATAAGAAGATATTATATTAAACAAAGGTTTCTTTTATTTAGATGTAAATTACGCCGATCTCATTAAATCATATTCAATCGAAATATTGTTATTTTTACACTTAATTCAGTCTCATAAATTTTATGTCAAGAAATTTGGTGCGCCATCGATACTATTATTTACCTTTCTATTCGTCGTATTTCGTTAACATTCATGACAATTTGTTTTTATTTTTCTATCCAACACACAAAGAAAAATGGTATGCTTCTCAACCATATGTGAGTTGCTGTACATGATCATTGTAATCATAAAGTAATCTATTTGAACATTGATCGGTTATTATTGAACTTAATGATGTGAAAATTACTTAAACACTAAGATAACGCGTTGAATTTTTTTTTTCTTAGTCATTTAGAAACCTATCGTACTGTCAGTTCGTTGCAGGTCATGTTATTCTCTGTCTACTCGTCAATAGAAAAAATAATCAAATTGAAAAATGTACTATTTTTTGGCTTCATATTCCATGTAAAGCATAATTCAATTATCACTATAATAAATAAGTTTCAATACTAACAAAAAATGCAGAACTGTATTGAAATTGAGCTGAGTTTGAAACACAAAAATAGAAAAAGCAATAGAACTAGTTTTGTACTTATGACTAGTTTAATATTTCAGATATTTAAAGTATTCAAAGACGTTTTTCCAGGTATACTTTGTTTTATCTTTAGTTCAAACTTAATAACGATCAATAAAAACGAAAAATTACTGAAAATCATTTTGATTCTATTGTAAGTTGAACTTCTACAGTTGTTGCTTTTGTTTTGTTTGGTAGAGTTTTCCAGTTGAAGTTCAGTTTATTTTTGATCAATTTCTACGTTTCATTATTCTGATCGAAGGTTATAAATAATTCCAAATTTTTTTAATTATATTCTTTATGGAATAAGAAGCCACAAAATAACACTTCTTCCAGACAGTTCTTCTTTTTTCTTCAGACAACAAATTGTTCGATGTCTCAGTGACATACAAAGCATTTTCTAGACACTCAAAAAAAAAAAGGATTCTTTGCACTTTTTTTTTAGATATAATATCTCGAGGGTGTGGGTGTGAGGTGTGAAATGATGCAACTATCCACATCCACATCCTGGTTAACAGTCAGAATATGCAAGGGTTCCGAATAACCGACACCAAAACTAGATCATTTCGATCTTAGATATGTATTTAATTAATAGAAAATGTATTTCATAAGCACAGGTGGATTTATTCGAATAAGAAATAATCACAAAATTAAAAAAATTATTTAGAAGTAAAATAACAGAAACTAAATCCTATCTAAGTGTTAAGCGATTAAAACTTGTACAATTTTCTAAAAGAAAAAATCTTTAAAATTATTTTATTCATCTTCTAATCATCTTCAAAATTATTATATGAAATTATAATCTCGTATTACGGATATGTTATATTTGGATCGATTCAATTTTTGCTTGCGCACTTCATGATTTATATTTACTAGTAGAGAACAAAAGAATGGAGAGAGAGATCATGTAAAACCTGGTTTATTTCTTTTGTGTCGTATATTTGTAGAAGATACAATTTCTTGGAGTGCATACATACTTAATTCGTTTTATTTTCTCTTTGTAGATATGAAAAATAGACATTGGTTCATATTACATCTTAAAGTGAAAGAAAGTAATGAAGATATTAGTTAAATATAAATTATTTTGGTATTTAAATCACAACAAAAAATGAAACATAAACTTTGAACGAAGTTAAAATTATCTATCAATTGGTATTATGCAGTAAAAAGCTTAATCATCTGTTGATTTGACTTTTTTTTCTATAGAACTTTTCGTCGGAAGGTGACTTTCTTTTAAAATAAGATAAAGTAATCTAGAGTGTGAGCATCATTCGCTATCAATTCCTATGCAAAGTCGCTTTTATGAAAAAAAACTTGAAATGTAGCGTTATACTGATATTGATGATCGTTCTTGAGGAGTATCAATCGTCTACAACCATGAGAGTTTAGGTGTGAGATGAATACAATAAACAAATTCACATCCCCAAGATTAAAACGTCAATTTTGATATGGATCAAATGAATAGCTTATTTCAACATTCGTTTAGATTATTTTTTATTCAATAGTTTACGTTTAATTATCAACATTTTTGAGAATGTATAATAACAAAAAAAACATCCAGTCTATCGCAGAGTATTCACGGTTTATCGAACAGTTGATCTTCACTATTTTTAAAATCTTAAATAAAAGAAACAGCAACATGATTTTTCTTTCGTCTTCTGTATACGAGTATATCTTGTCAATACATATTTATATATTCCGCAGTTAGAATAATTATTCGACCATAATCTTTATAATGAACATACTTTCAACATTTATATTTATCATTTTTAATTCATTTTGATGGAAAATGTCTCGTTCTATTTGTGGAGTTACCGACAAAAAGAAAGATAAAATGCATTAACCTATTATTGCGACGAAGTGGAAAATGAGATAAAATATTTCTTCACTTCATATTCATTCTCACAATTTCTTGTCCGCTCAAACATCACTAAAAGAAAAGCAGTTTTATTCGTAAGAATAATGATATCTAACACAGTCTGGTTTTGGTCATTGCTTATCTTGCTTATTCCATCATTTATCTGTTTATTATTTGTTCTTTATAATCTTCTTTTTGATCGAACTCTTCGTCATGCTCTCAATAATCATATTATTATTCTTATTCTTATCATTGATCTTATCACTCTAATGACAACATATCCATGGATGATATATTTCTATTACAAGGACGGTGTTATATGGGAAAGACCAATGATTTTTTGTGAATTCTGGTTATTTATTGATTCGGGATTATATGACACACATATGATACTGTTTGCTTGGGCGACTATCGAAAGACATATTCTTATTTTTCATGATAAGTGGATATCAACTAGAAAGAAACGATTCTTTGTTCATTATCTCCCAATCATCGCCCTTCTTCTCTACTGCCTTCTCTACAACACCATTGCAAACTTCTTTCCACCTTGTCAAAATATCTATGTTGATTTTTACAAGATCTGTACAGCTCCATGTACGTATGGTATATATATACTTGCTATGTACGATTCAATAGTTCATCAAATAGTCCCCATTTGTATAGCCGTTATATTTAGTCTTGCTTTATTTTTACGTGTTTTGTGGCAAAAACATCGTGCACATCAACCAATTCAATGGCGAAAACATCGAAAGATGACAATTCAGTTGCTATCTATTTCATTGCTGTATCTTATATTTTTGCTTCCATACACAGTAGTCATTATTCTCTCTCTATGCGATGTAGTGTCTGAAGCATTCTATGACTTTTCTCAATATACAGCATTTTTCGATTATTTTATGTTGCCTCTTTTTCCTTTTGTTTGTGCTTTATCATTACCTGAACTTCGAAGCAAACTAATCAACATTCTACATTTACGACGACCAGCAAGACGTATTGGTGTTGAAACGTTGGCTATGCGAACTGCTATGAACAGACAAATGCGCGATCGGTAGACATTTATTATACAACTTTGTTCTTGTGTTGTAAAAAAAAAAATAAAAAAAGTCATGATAAACATTAATTATACTTGTGAGATTTAACTCGATCAATTCAGAGAAAAACTTGTTTATTTTATTGAAAAACATAGTTTAATTATGACAGATTGAAGCTAATATTAAAAAAAACACTCAATAACAATTATTAAAAGTTATGGAATAAAAGTAATTAAATAAGTTGGATAAACCACACGATTTTCATAGACAATATAAACTTTACTACCTCCTGTATCACCTGACACACTATTATATCGTAGATTTGAAACTTTCTCATTTTTCTTTGGAGGTCGACGTAAAGATGTATCACTCTTGCAATCATATACATCTCCTGTTAGAACTTGAGCAAGAAACACTTGCTTTTTTCCATTTGGTAAAGTATAAACATAGCTCTCACAAGAATATGATGCATTTTTGGCAAAATAGATACCAATTCCCCACAATCCACTGGAGGTAAATGTCATATCGAAACCATAATCGCCATTGTAAACTTCACTAGGTGGTGTAGTTCTTGTTCCATGAAATAGTTCTAATTCAATTTGTAAATTAGGCATAGCACGTAATTCTTTTTTAAGTTCTCGACGACGAATTGCGTAATGATTCCATAAACGTACATTTTGTATTCGTTCGATTTTATCAATTTTTATATTAGGCATAGTTTCTTTTATACGATTTTCAATACGAACAAAATTAGGATCATTTTTAGGAATATCCACTAAATTACATCCTTCTTTTTGATCACCCCATTCTTTCGGTATGCGCAATTCATCATCATTCTCTACCTGTATTTTCAAAATATCTTGAGCGTATAAAGCAATTCGCAATTTTGCTTCTTGTACATTTGGTTTCAAACCTTTTAATATCATTGATAGTTGTCCTGTAGATTCTTGTTGAAAATCAATTTTAATATGCTGTTGAGCTACAATTTGACTAAGTACCATCCTATGATCATCCAGATTTTGGTCTAAATTTATAGAGAAAGATTCTGAAATCGTCGTTGAATCGATGGCTGATCTAATCGCTTTCTGTGCTTGATCAACTGTTGCTTTGGTGATGCCAGTAATATCCCAACACTCTTTGGTAATAATTATTTGTGTATCATATGAATCCAATGGTTTTGGACGATAAATAACAGATTTTCCTTTGTTTTGTTGTTGCTGTTGTACTAATACTACTGGATGGCGAATAAGATCTCTTGTAAAGCGAGTATCCTTTCTCATTTGGAATCCGCATACGAGTCGAGAATTGAGTGTATTAGGATTGTTTGCTACTAATGTCTTTACATGAGAAAGAAAATGAATACTATAATCAATAGTAGCACCACTCTCAGAAGTATCAACAGCAATCATTAATTCAGATGAACGAGAATCTTTTAAATACTGCTGAAATGCATTTTCGATTCGACGTATATCATTATCATTATATGTTTGTTCATAACTGTCAGCTTGCCAACACCATTTAGCCGTTAACGGAGGTAATTCACAGTCTACAATATCATCATCATTGTCTAAGACTGTATTATTATGATTAATCGAAACTTCACGTGCAAATGAATTACATGCTGTATCATCTATGTCTAATAAAATAATTTTTTTTAGCTTTGATTGTGGATAATCAGCAAAGAATTGTTTTATTGCACGAACCACAATATTTGTACAATCAGCCAATGGAAAACCATAAGTTTTACCACTAATTGCTGGTAAGGCAACACTTACAAAACCTTCATTTTCAGCAAGTTGTAAACATTTTAAGACACAAGAAAATAATAATGAACGTTCTTGTTGATTCCCATCAATGTACTGAGGACCAATTGCATGAATAATACATTTAAAATGAAGACGACCAGCTGTTGTCTTCACTGCTTTACCTGCAGGAATAGGTAAGCCATTATTTTTAGCAATTAATTGTTTACATTCTTCATCTAATGCTGAACCGGCGGCACCAGCAATTGCTTTATCTACACCACCTGCATGACGTAATGTTCCATTTGCTGCATTTACAATAGCATCAACATTCTGTGCCTTTGTAATATCACCTTTCTCTATGGCAATCGTTTGACCACGATTATTTACAACGGCTGTGATAGTCGCGTTCGTATTATCATCATTCTTATTGGATGAAGAATGAATCTTCTCAGCGTTAACATCTCGAATATTAGTATTTGTTTCACGTTCAATACATTTTATTAGCTCATAGGCATGGGTTCGCATAAAATCTGATTCGATCGATGTTAATTGTAAACGATATGGAATGATCTTTGTTTGAATATTATTGATAATAGAATTGATCGTTTGTTTGAATTTAATGATAATTTCAGAAGGACCATGTAATGTCAATCCATGAGGATTTTTCGATTCGACAAAAATTTTCTGATATTTCGCTTCATCGAGTAAAGAACCGATGTTTTGATCAACAAATCGACGAATATTTAATGGAATACGAATGAATTCAGAAATACGTTCCACTCGAATTTTCTTTTCTTCTCTCAAACTTAACAATGCTTCTTTAATTTCCTCTGCGATCATTTTTGACCGTGCAGGAATAGTAATTGTGCTCGTATCTCGATTCAGTTGTATTTCAGCATCCCATTGTCGGCAAAATTCATTGAGTGACGGTATTTTTTTCACGAGTAATGCGTTAACCATTGCTCGGTAATCTTCTCCAGATGGTTTCCAAACCGTATATCCTTCAACAATATCTTGACATTGTTCAGTGACATCATCAACTGCTTCTTCATTTAAACCAACTATTGATATGGTAATTTTTGGTTTTGTTTCTCTTCGCTCGAGTGGTGTATACTGTTTGACCCATCCTATTGCTTCACAATCATCTGAATCTTGAAGTTTTTTTAGACGCATACGAACAATATCACAAATATTCCTAGAAACATCCCAAGTTTGACAAGGAAAATGTTTTTCTTGTTCGAATAAACTTTCAAGAAAATCTTCAACATGTGTTTGAGCAAGAGTAATGCGTGAGGTAGAACCAGTCAGGTTTACATAATCATGATCACTATCATCTTGTTCATCATTTTTATGTTTACGATGAGATGATGAAAATGGAACTGTTATCTTTATACAATGCGTTTTTTCTAGTTTTTTAATATCCGATAAAGCTTTTGTTCTAAGGAAAATTGCCATCACTTTTGATATAGGAAGTTGTATTTCAGCCTTAACATTATCATCTAGCCAATTTTTTATTTTCGGCACAGCATTTTTAACATGATCTTGGAATCCTCTTACGATGACATGCCACACACCATTTGTATAATTTATAAAAATTTGTACGATAGAATTTGTACCAGACTGAGTGAGACTAGTAAGATAGTTTTTGATTTGAAAACATTGTTCACGAATTGGATTATATTTTTGTGGAAAAGATTTTTCATTTCGTGATTGACTTAAAATCCAAGTAATTTCATCTTGTGTCAATGTCCATGATTGTTTGTGCAAAGAATAGTTTTGTAATTCTTTTGTAGCTTTAGATAATAACTCTTCTGAATCATTGCATAATATTACTTGTATAGATCTACGAGCGCCAGTATAAGGAGGTCTAGAATTGCCAGATTTAGTTGATATATTTGATGATGCATTCGATATATCACTTTTGGAATCATCATAATCATCATCGTCTTCGAACTGATTATCATCACGATCATTATCATTTTGATCATAAACACGAATCGTATCCACAGAAGTGTTTGATGATGTTTGAGAGAAGAAAATTCCCACAGAATATTTTTGTGAAAAATGCTTCAATAAAGGTCGTTTGCATTTTGTCTGTAAATATTTTTTCAAGCTAAAGGTGATCGTCGCATATTGCTCATGAAGTGTTTCTTTTAGATAATATTTCATATTTGCAATTACTGAACTATCACCTGTCAATTGAAGTTTACCATCTTTGATTTTCATATCTTTAATACCTGGTTGGTTGCAAATAATATTAAGAATTTTGTCGCCGAAAAATTCAAGAAAATTATACTGAGCACCGTTCAATTCAACTATCTCTTGTACTGGTCCCTTTGCAGGCTGAGGTACAACTTTTTGATTAATGAACGGTGTAGAAGACGCAGTATCTGTTCGTTTCGGATGAAGAAATTTACAACTAGTATTGTTGCATTGATTTCCATGACGACATTCTTTGGGGCAAGGTGGATGGTTTGCAGTACAACCAGAATTAGTATATTGTGCTTTGTCAGCACAAACACTCCGACCATCCGGGTGCTGATATAAACAAGTATCATTATAACATGTAATACCGCTAAGACACATCCGAGGCTTCGATAGATTTGCACCATGTGAACGCTGTGCATGCGCTAGGCGACAATCGGACTGTAAACATGAATCATAATTTTGACATCTTGTATGACGATATTTACATTCACCAGTCTTATAATGACATGTTCCTTTATTTGCATCAGGACAGAGTTCACGTTCGTACTCGGGATTGGGAGTATTTAACTCTACAATATAACACAATATTTAAAGATAGATAAGTGAGTGTGGGTATTCGCTTTTATCTGATATTCAAGCTTATCGTACTGTAAATTTCGATATATTTTTTTTATTAAAAACAAAGACTTACGTTCTCGTTCCGGTGCGTTCCTATGTTGTGGTTGCTGGGGCATTCTCTCCAAGATTGGATTCTGGTACTGAGGGGATTCAGTGCGCATTGTTTGTTTAGGAATAGTATCCATCGGATTTTTTGGTAAATGTCTTGAACTTTCATCAATCGCATTATTTCCTTCAGGCCCCTTGGCAACACATTTTATACGTAAATTCGAAATGGTTAAACCTGAGCTTCGAAGGACGAAATTATTGGCATGTTGCTCATCATGAAAATCGTTAATCCAGGCAAAATAAGTGTTGAATTTTTGGTGTTTTGGAATACAAATACGTAAGGGAGGAACCTTAACTAGTTCTGCTAATTGCTCTATCGTAATGGACGCAGGAAGATACGTAACTTGTACTCTCCAATTTTTGGATTCTCGATTTGATGGCATTACTTTTGGATCAATTCTAGGTGCTGCTGTCGAACTCTCTCCATCAAGCCATATTTTAAATTTATGATCTTGAATTTCCATTGTTGTTGAATCTTTAATAGGTCTTATTTTTTGTGGAAATGCATTAATCACTGGCTTTTCATGCCATTCATAATATTTACGTTCGGCTTTTAAAAAAAGTTTTTCCAAGATACTATCTGAGTCATACGTTGGTTTACCAAATTTTCTCATAAATTTTGGCCAACGTTCACAATATTTCGCTTGAAATGGTCGAATTTCTGCTATATCAACAAATTTTCCAGTTTTAGGTGAATCAACTGCAAGTGCAAATAATTCAGCTAATTTTTTACAAGGTTCAGAGAACGAATGTTTTTCATGTTGATCTGCAACAACAGTATGAGTATTTGCGATCATGCCTAGAATGACTCCAGCTTCGAATGATTCAACAATATGATTAACAATGATTTGTTGATTAATTAATGATACTTCTGTTTTTTTTGCTGCTTCATATGATAAAGGTTCAACATTTCGTTCTATTCTTAAACGATCACCCCAATAAACCCAATATTTATCACCATCTAAATCAGAGCCAGCTATTTCATTTGAATGTGGACGATGGCCATTGATTGGAAATACAATGACATCGCGCATACATTCTTCTAGTTTATGATTACGAACAGCTTGCAATTGACGAAAATCACCGGGCCATAGACATGGATTTTTTGTAACGAGAATCGGGCCTCAAAACAAATCATCATATCGAAAAAATCAACTACGTAGTTAGATCGATGCAACTTACCAGTAATCACGCGAAATTTTCGTTGACCATTGTTTGTTGCATTTAATAATGAGCACTGTATAAAGCATTCACCATATTTCAGTTCGCCAGTTTCGTCTGCTACACCAAATAAATTTCGACCATCTTCTGGCGGAATAGGTATACGATTTGTAATTAAATTATCTTTTCTATAAGAAATAGTTCAGTTAAATTATTATGTCTTATTTTTCTAGATAACAAAATATTATTTACTTACGATAATGAATAAGAAGCATTTTTCTGTACTGCAATATCGATTGCACTCGGTTGTTGATCTTCAGGAACTTCCCATTGAGTAAATCCCCGATTTTGAAAAGCAATAAATACATCATCAGAATTTCCCAAATCACTTAGAAGACGAATTACTTGATTGTTCAATGTTAATGTCACTAAATAATTGAATACAATATGTTTTTTAAACTTATAAACATGAATAGGTTACTAGGTCGAGCAAATTCACATATTTCCAAATTCCAATCATCACTTGGAAATTTCATCATTGAATCACGTACAGAAATATAATAGTCATTCAGTGTTGAATTTGGATCAATAGCCACGATACCTTTACAACCAGCGACGCGTATTTGATATGCTGATGGAATATCTTCCTAGAATTAGTCAGCAATAAATAAAAAGTTTGATTCTCTTAAACAAACTTTGCTGTATAAAGGAATATGCATTTGTTGAGCTACACGTCCAGCTAAACCCCATGATATTTTACCAATACCATCCGTAAAACAATATTCAATTCCTTTGGCATCGTTTCTCTTGATATCGGTGTCTTCATAAACATAATATACTGTATCATTTGAACGTATATTACTTTTGTTTGCTACTTTAACCAACGTAATCTACAGAATAACATTATATATATATATATAAATATATTACGAAGTATTTTGTACAAAAGACACTTACTCCTATAGGCCATGTGGTGGAAAAGTATTGACCAACACGAGCAATATATGTAGAGATATTTTTGATTTTCTCAAAATTTCCTAGTAAATCATGTGCGTCTTTCATATTTTTTAAATTCGGAGGTAAATCAATAAACCAAAAGCCCATTTCTTTCATTTGACCTGTGCTTGCACCCATATATTTAAAAGTTCTATTCAATAATTCGATTCCATTGAGCATTGCATTTTTTAATCTATGCTTGATATTTGAACTGGACACGCGTAATTGTCGATTATCTTCGTCACGGAAATGCACAAGAAGAAATCGTTCTGGACCACCAAATCTACACAGAAATTTTTAGTTTTAATATCAATGAAAAAAAACGACTGATCAACTAAATTTACTGAGGATTTCTTAAAGCTCGACTTCCTGTTGTAACTTCAAGTGGCTGAAAGATAATATTTAATGGTGTTAATGTACAAGAGGCAACTTTAAGTCGTTGTTTGTTTCCAACTAATATTGCCTGTTCGTCCATATTGCTATCTGTTCTTTTTTTTGTTTCATTATAATCTTTTTCAGTTCGTCTTAAATCATATCCATGATCGTTACATAATTGTTCAACTACATAACAACATAAAGTATAACGTTCATCGATATTCCATTTATTCCAATTTAATTCTTGATCAGTTAATTGTGCCCATTTATCTTGAAATAGAAAACCAAGTGACATAAGCATCTGTAGAGCATACCGATCTTGAAATGATGCATTTCTATAATTAAATGGATCGGGTATTTGATTTTTATTTTTCTCTGTTGACCAGTTCGATATTTTGAAAGTAGAAAAATTAATATGATATCGTTCAGATTGATCGATTAAAAAATAAGAAAGAAACTTCCAAGCACTTTCTTTTGGTGGTATAAAATATAAGACCAAATCTGAACATTGTGCAATATCTGTAACAAATTCAACATTTTGTTGATCAGCACATATTCTAAAAGAAATGAGAAAAAAAATAATTAAGTAACAACAAAAAAATAAAATAATCTAAATATAATAACCGTACCGAACTGATTTAGTATTTAGATTTTTACCACTTTTATCTCCACCTTTGATTGGTTCCATTCGATGAACATTCGGCGCATATTTAAGTGGAAGTAAAACATAAATTCCATTTTCTGCATTGTCTTTATTAACTAAAATATTCTTTCTTTGAATTGAAACAAATGGAATAACAATACGTATATCTTCAAATTCAATATATAAAGTATCTGGTATTGATCTTGATGGTATAAACGAAAGTTTAACAATTTTATTATCGAATGAATTATGTGAATAAAATTGACTATATGATCGAAGTGAACCAAATAAACATGATGCAGAAAATGTTGTTCCTTGCTGGTAAATATTAGCCGAAGTTGCTGCTAATGAACGTCGCATAAGTAAATCAAGAGGATTCGAGAAAATATTAAACCAAATAGGTGAGCTTTCATTTGGCAATACATTTGCCAGTTGATCACGAACTTTATTAGCCTCCTCACGTGTCAATGTAAAATTAATTTTATCATTTCCATTTTCTCCACAATTTCTTATACCTCTCTTATCAAATGTGTTTGGACGAACAAAACTAATATAAAATAGATATTTTCAAATAGAAAATAAAAATTATCAAATAATAATACATACGTTTCGATATTGGAAGCAAGTTGTTCAGCAGCTCTCTTCGATGGTATATGTTTAAATTCGCAGTGAACTAATCCGCTCATATCTACAAAAAAAATATATTTTACTGAAAAGTAAATAAAACTAATTATTTTCAGCTGAAAGTGTTAAGATGAGAATGTGGGTGAGTGTCAGAGTGGTTGAGAGATGTAACAAACACCCACACCCACCTCATTCCCCTGAAAATCTAATTAAACTTTAAGTTTATAAGAAGTTTTGTAGTAAAAATGTGCACCAGTTTGCACAAGGATATCCAGTTAAACTCAATATCATATATAAATTGATCTCGAAAAGAAAAAAAAATGTATCGAACAATATTTACTGACTTTGGTTCTTTGTAAATCACTTGTTATTCTGTCTTTTTAACGCGTATGCTGGTAATAATTTCTTTCGTCGAAATGAATAAAAGTATGCACAGCATACACAACTCACCTTTTATATATGAAGCTAAATAAATTCGTTTATCTTGGTTATAAAAGAATGATAAATAATATTATAAATCAAAGTTGATAAGAAGTATTTTTTTTCTTTTGTTGACGATGATATTATATATCTTCATAGAGTATCTTCTCTACTTGCAAAAGATAAAAACAAAAGTCTAGAAGTGTATACGCATAGATGCAGTTGTGGGATAGGCATGGGCAGGGACGACAATTCGAATATGATGAAGAAAAAACACCCACACTCTTTTTGTATAAAATTTATCTTTACTTTAAATAAATGATTCCTTATTCAGTAGAACTGAGGGTGAGGGTGTGGGTGGAATCCATTACTTACTCTTATACCCACATTTCGACTCGTCCTTTTATTTGTAACGGAAACTAAACGCATTACTGCTTATGTTGAATATAGATTAAGAATGAATTATTCAGCATAACCAATATAATATCGTTAGAAAAATGAAATAATTATTACCGCAAGGCAAACTAGCTAAGAGAAATCATCTGTTCAAACCAGAGAAAAAAGATAATTATACAATGTCATTATAGCAAAAGAAAAGAATAAACGTTTATGCCATGTGATCATCAGTTTTGAAACTTTGTTTATGAAGTGATAGAAACTAAAGCAAAGCTTGACTTATCAGAATTCGCAGAAAGCCAGAATTTGACCGAATAATTATTATATGGTGCAACCGTGAACTTCTGACTTAAATAATCACTTGCATTTACTGATCCATCTACATAAGAATAATAACCATTATGTGGAGTAGATGAACCAACAAAACCAGCGTGTGCCGCATTATTAGGATTGCAATACGTCCAACTAGTAAGATCTCCTAGTTCGAAATCACCGTTAGATAAGAGTTCAATTCCTGAACTATCAGTTATTGTAATATCGTCCAGATACCAATCGAGTGGATCATTACGTAGTGAGAACATGATTGTGGCTGAAGTAATGTTGGGTGCCGTATAATTAAATGAATACTTTTTCCAAGGAAGGGTTGCAGTTAGAGTCAGATAAAGAAGTTGAGTTGTGTAAACTTCACCACCTGTACAAGCATTACTGATAGTAGCCGTGGTTGTGGTTGTGCTAGTGGTCATAGTGGTACTAGTAGTTATAGTAGTACTGGTAGTTTTAGTGGTACTAGACGTCGAACTGCTGCTGGTAGTTGAAGTGGTACTAGACGTCGTACTGCTGCTGGTAGTTGAAGTGGTACTCGAAGTCATAGTACTGCTAATAGCCGTAGAGGTGTTGTTTATTACTAAAGTAATACAATGAAACAATAAGCAATTTAGTTTTGAAGTATTTAAACTGAATTCTTAGTTAATTACAGGCTCCAGAAAATAGTCGTAAAAGAAATTTCTTCTTGTGAATGCATTTAGTATATTGTAAAAAGACCGAAAGAAAAAATGTCGACACCATAAACGTCGAAATATAAATGTCGAAAAAAAAATGTCGAAGGAAAACTGCGTCGAAAGAATAAGATTTAAAATTTTTCGTCAGATAGGAAAATTTTGAGGGTGTGGGTGAGTGGGTGAATGTGAATGTGGGTGTGGCTGTGGGTGAATATGCGGGTGAGGGTGTGTGTGAGTGTGTGTGCATATGGATGTGACTGTAGGTGTGGGTTTCGGTGGCACAATAATACAACAGCCATATCTACATCCTTGTTATGTCAGTTTCCCGGGGTTATAGAACATTCGTTTACACAATAATTTATTGGATTAAATGATTTACTAATCAGTGAAAGTTTAGTGAATAATATCAAAAGAAAAAATAATACTTTGATGATAACATCTAGAAACTTTCGACATTTATGTGATCGACATTTTTTTTTCGACAAAAATGACTTCGATATTTATTTTTCGGCCTTTTTTGCGTCGACTTTTTTTCTTTCGATCTTTTTACAGCCAATCATGCATTTTTATCTGTTGGTGAATATTATCCAACCACTCCTTTTCTGAAAAAGCTGAAATTCATATAGTTACAAGATGTGTTTTCAACAGATCACAGCATAACGTTTTAAAGAAATAACTAAAAATATGTAGAGAAAGCTCTTTTATAGATAGTATTTGTTCCCGTCCGATAATTAGTCAACCGTAATAAACTATATCAATTAAAACAATATCTAACGTATTTATAATGAGCAATGTAAAAGTAGAAACGTACCAGTTACCATATTTGTACTCGTGACTATGGTAGTCAATGATTTAGAACCTGACGTCAACCAAAATGTAATGATCACAGCTAGCAATATGCCAGCTGCTAAAAGACCCACAATAAATCCTATGCAACATGCTGTCGATAAACAGCATGGAGGTAGTTTCCATTGTAATAATAACCTTCTGTATATAATATTTTTAGTTTAAGACTAATATTTCTTAGTTTATCACGTCTACTTACCTTTTTGTGGTAGACTCTCTCGAATCTGGTCTGTCGAAGTTACCACCTGAAACATTGCTCAAGTTTATACTGGTATCATTCAAGATATTTGATGACGTTTGACGTTCACCATCAGTACTTAATGGCATTGACCAATCACTAGATCGAAGGCATGCTGCTGTCATTTGGACACTTATGTCGTACTTTAATGTGATTAGTATGAAAAAAAAGAAAGATATGCTTTTCGTTTCATCCAAACATTTTTTCTTATTAAACAAGCCCTACAATACCTTTATAAGACTCCTTTGATTAGTTTTTTTATTCAATTAAAAAACAGAATTCTCTGTTGTTGTAAACAAGAAGCACTTGGTATTGTTGATACAATAAAATTAGTCGCAATATACGTCTCAGACGAACAGAGTCGGTTGATTCTATTCTTTCGTGTGTACAATGTACTTTTTTATGATAAAATAATGTTCTCAAAGAACAATAAGTATTGTAATTTGATTAAAAAGCATAATTCATTTTAAAAATACAAAGATTGATCAAACAATCTTCCAATTTATCAAGTTTGATGAGGGTATAGATAAAAAAAGACGTCAGATACTCACATTCACTCCCAATCTTTCAAAATTATAAAGTAATTAATATTTATTAGTCAGATCTTGTCGTGGCGCACCACATTGAGAGCACAATAATGAAATTTCTAATTTAAATGGCTAGCAAAAATCAAAACAAAGAAAACGACAGTTGCGTTTCTTTCGAATATTTTCCATAGAAATCCATCCGGTGAATAACTACTTACATGACAAATGACCTGAGTATTTCCATATCGTTGATTCTTGACATATTGCTTTGATTTCATGTTAGCTGAAGGAACAATAATTTCATCATCTTATATTCTAAAACCACTAGACATCCAAGGATTTGTTCAATTTAAATATGATGTGAACGATATTCAATCATCTGGTCACACACCATTTTCAACCAAACAAAATCAAAATGGAATATTATGTCGTCAATAATTTTCAAATGAAAGAAAAATATTGTGGAACACATCGAGTATCTTTTCTTTCGACATCCACGATTATGACTACTAGTCAAATAGCAATCAATTTAACAAGTGCAGAAATCAAATATAAATGTAATTCATCATCAATATCACTTGATGAACAATATGAAAATATATTAAATTCAATTCGCTCAATGAAAGCATATAAGAGAATATTGCGTTTCTACAGTCAACATTTATCTTAGCTTATAACATCTCTCTAAGATCAATTCTCAGTTTAACATCTTGAGGGTGTGAGGGTAAGTGAGCGCATGAGTCAAAACAAGAGACACCTACGTTCTCACACTCACATCACACCCACACGGCTTACGATTTCGTTATACTATAAGACGAAAAATGACTAAACCGTTGTTTATTGTTGAGTAAGTTACATTTAGAAATAAAGTTATAAAAAAAAATAAATTCTTCCAATGTATTTTTTATGTTTTATCTTTACTTACATTTTTGTTCATTACATGATGGTTAACTTCGACATATATTCTTTTTCGATGAAGCCAGATTGATAAGACATTTCCATTGAACAGATATTTACCATAATCTCTATTCGAAGCTTTCTAATCGAAGACTTTATATATCATTGTCTTTGTAAACGAAATCGAAATTTATTTAATAAATATCTTCTTAATTTAAAATTATGTACAAATAAATAGAACGTTATAATCAATAAACAGACTTTACTGAATAAAACAGTCAACAGAAATCCTGTTAAATTAATATTAACCAAAAATTGAAGGAGCATAGTAAAATAAATAGGACTGCATCCTCAAATGAATAACAAAAATAAAATAATCATTTGTTTTAGTAAAGAAATATCTCGACGACTAATCTTTGTTTGTTGAGTATTGATAGTAATGATATTTGTGGTTGTGTATAAATACATTCAAAACAATATTCAATAATGAAGGAACAAATACACCCATCATCAATGTATCAATTCGTATGCATAATTCATTAATACAATTCTAAAAGTAAATACATATGCATTTCAATAGCATGAAAAAATCAAGTGACTCATTTTCATATTATTAAAAAATCTTTCTGACAATATATTTAATTTCGATTCTAAATCTGATTAAAATAAACTATTGACTTACAGATTCTTGTCTTAAAATAAATGGCAATGAAATAATAAATTCAATCATCCATTGTTTTGTTTTAAAAAATGATTTTATACGACATATTATAGAACATAATCTATACACAGAATAAGTAAGAGAAGCAAATGGTATTTTAATACTTGCTATTCTATATACATAAAATAATAGAATACACATATGTGAAGTATATAATCCTTCAAAATCGAAATATCATGTTGTAAAATAGATAATAAAAAAGATACAAGTACTAGCAATACATAAAAATATATTATTTTTAATACGACGAAAACGTGGAAATATAAAAATCAAACTTGAATATATTTAAGCAAAAACGAAATTTAATGTGAATAAAGTAATTTGGAGAATAACAATGATATTAAATATATTTGCCATCAATGTAAAATTGAAGATTTCTAATAACAGTTTCTATATTTAATTTTCTTTTGCTTCTTTGTTAAAATAATATTAAAGGAAATACTATAATGAATTTAACGAACTATGAATAATAAAATGTAATCTTTCAGTACTAATGATTCTATTGTAAGTGACTAAGAGGAATAATTATTTTTAATATAAAAGATGCATTATATACGGTTCTGAATGATAATATTGGCGTCAGCAAAATTGCCTTATCAAATATTCAATTGAATATTAATGAGAAGAGAATAACTCTCTTATGAAATCTTTTCTAAAATTATATGACTTAAAAGAGTTTATTTTTATTTCTATTGTTAAAAATAATATGAATTTTAGATGAATCATCATATCTAGCATAGTATAAAATTTTTTTATGTAAATAATATGTAAAATTTCTTCTAAAATATTAGTCTATATTTTGTAATTCATTTTCGATTTAACTAATATCATCTGATATGATACACAAATCTATTGATGGCTAATCCTTCTTGATTAAATATGCTTAGAATGCATCAATATATATATATATTAATCATTTTTAGTTCAAGATGTTTGGTAGATGATTGAACTTAAATAAATATCATAATATTTAACAAAATAATTAATATAAAAAAACAGAGTATGGACTGATGTGCTTAGTTCGAAAAATCACTTCAAATAAAATAAAAGAAACAGCAACAAGATTTTTCTTTCGTCTTATGTATACGAGTATATGTTCTCAATCCATTTATATATGTCGCAGTTAGAATAACTACTCGACCATAATCTTTATAATGAACATACTTTCAACATTTATATTTAACCATTTTCAATTAATTTTAATGAGAAATATCTCGTTCTATTTGTGGAGTTACCGACAAAAAGAAAGATAAAATGCATTAACCTATTATTGCGACGAAGTGGAAAATGAGATAAAATATTTCTTCACTTCATGTTCATTCTCACAATTTCTTGTCCACTCAAACATTAATAAAAGAAAAGCAGTTTTATTCGTAAGAGTAATGATATCTAGCACAGTCTGGTTTTGGTCATTTCTTATCTTGCTTATTCCATCATTTATCTGTTTATTATTTGTTCTTTATAATCTTCTTTTTGATCGAACTCTTCGTCATGCTCTCAATAATCATATTATTATTCTTATTCTTACCATTGATCTTATCACTCTAATGACAACATATCCATGGATGATATATTTCTATTACAAGGACGGTGTTATATGGGAAAGACCAATGATTTTTTGTGAATTTTGGTTATTTATTGATTGGGGATTATATGACACACATATGATACTGTTTGCTTGGGCGACTATCGAAAGACATATTCTTATTTTTCATGATAAGTGGGTATCAACTAGAAAGAAACGATTCTTTGTTCATTATCTACCAATCATCGCCCTTCTTCTCTACTGTCTTCTCTACTACACCATTGCGAACTTCTTTCCACCTTGTCAAAATATCTATGTTGATTTCTACAAGATCTGTACAGCTGCATGTATGTATGGTATATATATATTTGCTATGTACGACACAATAGCTCATCAAATAGTTCCCATTTGTATAGTCGTTATATTTAGTCTTGCTTTATTTTTACGTGTTTTGTGGCAAAAACATCGTGCACATCAACCAATTCAATGGCGAAAATATCGAAAGATGACAATCCAGTTGCTATCTATTTCATTGCTGTATCTTATATTTTTGCTTCCATACACAATAGCCCTTATTCTCTCTCTATGCGATGTAGTGTCTAAAGCATTCTATGACTTTTCTCAATATACAGCATTTTTCGATTATTTTATGTTGCCTCTTTTTCCTTTTGTTTGTGCTTTATCATTACCTGAACTTCGAAGCAAACTAATCAACATTCTACATTTACGACGACCAGCAAGACGTATTGGTGTCGAAACGTTGGCTATGCGAACTGCTATGAACAGACAAATGCGCGATCGGTAGACATTTATTATACAACTTTGTTCTTGTGTTGTAAAAAAAATAAAAATAAAAAAACTCATTAAAAAACGATAAAGTCGGCCTTTATTAAAGAGAAGAAGTGAGCAGAATGTTTTAATGAGTGAGATTTATTTAAAGCACTTCTCATTTAATTGTACTTGTGAGATTTAACTCGATCAATTCAGAGAAAAACTTGTTTAAACTAAACAATCTGATAATATTCGTTATATTTGTATCGTTGAGGGTGTGGGTGTGTGTACATTCACACCATAACTCTAGTAGGAAAATGATGTTCAATTAAGAGAGAGTTTGTCATTTATTCGTACTATTATCTGATCGGTTTTCCAAGAATCTCACTCCGTAAATATTACGTCTATGTTTGGAATCTGACTGAATATACCTAAGCGCTTTTCGTAAACAGTTCTATATGTAGTCAATCCATGAACGGTTTCAGTTGTTAATCTTCGAAAATATCAAGTAGTTTTGTTATTGTATTGTAATCTAGTAAACCTTCCTATTATTGGGGTCCCATTCCATGTGTTTTCAACGTCATTAAAATCAGCAGGTGATAATATCTGATTAAACACACTGAATGAATAGCCCATTGTTAACACTATAGTTTGGTTCGCTTTGCGATTAACTCTTACGTATCTTTTCAAAAACCTTTTATCGAATGTTGTATACGCGAGTTGCAACAAATACATTGTTTCATTGATTTTATCGGCATGTCCGTCAGGAAATGGTTTCCAATGAGAAAACATATGATGAAGTGATACTAATCCATCTAGGCCACTTTCTAAATAACCAGTCATGTCACCAATATGATCCATTTGATGAAAGTTATTATTTCTTATTAAATCTACTTTCAATATTTTAGTTACGCATTTACCAATCATTCCGTCTCCACCAAACATGTAAAGATATTGTTTACATTTTTCAATATTGGTTGAGAACAATAATGCTAATGGGCGACTTAACACAATACCCCCACCTCCATACGCAAAATAAGTACCAAAATAGTTCAAGTTAGCGATTTTTTCAGAAACGTCGCCTAAATATATAGTGTTTGATGAGTCATATTGCTGCAGTGTACTCAAAAGATTATTTATGAACCAAACGGTATCATCATCACCTACAGCAAACCATTGTATCATTTTTTTTCTGTTTATTTCGTGATGATTCCAAGCTAGATGGAATAATTCAAGATATCTTTCTTCATAGCGTGTTATATTTGATCTTTGTATGCTGCATGGGATTCCTTCATGTATAAGATATTCTGTAATATTTCTATTATTAGCAAAGTCTTTTTCTTCGAAAACTATGAGACATTTAATATTAGGTAGCTTCGCCCAAAATTTTATATAATGAACGGTATCCATTATTCGCTTAGTATTCGTAGTGAGTGCGAAATAGATATCTTCAATAATATATTTGTGAATAGTTGGTTTTATTGTGGATATAGATGCTGTTTCTTCATATTCACCAGAAAATTCTGTCAGATCTATGTTGTTCCGTTTTATTGTATTAATATGCAGCAAAACTTGAACTTTAATATGCGTTAAACTTTTTGTCTTGTTATCGAATGTTCCAGTAGCAAGCTTTTTCGTCATATGAACTGTCGTTAAACGAACATTATTATTTAGTGGGTGAAAAAGAAAAATACCGCAAATAATAATAACCGTTATGATTATACATTTTATCCATCTCAGCAGAAAATTCTTCTTAGCCAAACGATATATTGTATATTGCATAAGTTCTTTAACAGACTGAATAATAGAGAGAAGACAGCATCTAAAGCAAAGAATTCTTATGTATAACCTTTATTTCTAACACGTTAACGAGAAAGTTCCAGAAATCTCCGTATTAAGGGTACATAAAGGGAGTACAAATATTTTTCGAACGAAATCAAAATTGTGAATATGGATGTTGAGCTCGAATTAGAAATATGGAAAACAAAATTATATTTTAGCATGATGTGGTATGAACAACAATGCGAAAATGAAAAAGAATTGTATCGAAGAAAACCCTGTAACTATCAAATAGGGCTTTTTCAATCTTACCTTGGACGAGAAGATGTTTTAACTGTCTGTATATATCAGAGAACACTGACAAAAAAAAATATTTAAATGATGACGACTCTTTTTCTATTTATGCAAATAGAAAAAAAATAGTATTAAAACAATTTTGTACATTTGCTTTTTATATTCATAACGACAAACATTACCATGTGAAAGAAAAAAACAAATAAGGTGTACATACATTACCACTCATTTCTCATTTTTGCTCTCACATTTTTTAGAGTGTGGGTGCTTTAGTAATAGAAAAGATACTTTCACTCGCATTCTCACTGCAAAATCACTTTGAGGGTTGGTGTGGGTGTACGTGTAAAAAATATCATGATCCACACCCACACCCTATCCTAATGCCTTAAAAACACAATATTTTAACAAAAAACCAAGATTTGTGAACGAACTTTTTTTGAGGGTTTCTCTCGACACTATGGGCCATAGCTAAAGGCAAAATACGAGCTCAAACGAATGGTGATACCTCGAATATTTCCCTTATAAGTTCACACCTTTTTTGCAATTTCGAGAAATAAGAAGAGGCTTGATGGAACTATTTGTTTTGAAATCGATCAAGTTCTACTTGAAACTAATGTAATCAGACTTGGAACGTGTACTTAAACGAATCCGTATATAAGATAATCTACATACGATCAATATTATTTTAAACCAACAACTCTTCTTTTTACAGTTCGTATTACAATTTTTTCATTCATTAAATGAACTAGAAACAGTAACTAATAGAATTATTTCTCTGTTACAAGACAAATCAGTAAATAATAAAGCGAATTCACTATCACATATTAAAGAATACAATCAAACACCTCTTTCATCAACTCATATTTAAATCCTTGATTGGCAAATGTCAGTAATAAACTAATTTGAATATAATCAAGAATTATTTAGACGATAAGTATACTCCTAATTTTCTATCTATATTAGTCACTATAATATTCTTTATCTTATAATCCAAGTTCATCCGAAAGTTCATACTGTGGTATGTATTTCCATATACAAGTACATGGACGTCTATTGAGTATTAATTTACACTGTTTCTTTCTTCAAATTCGATTATTATTCTCCGACACAAAAACATTTATCAAAGAACATGTTATTCTTAATTATGACATCATCGAGCATATTTATTGCAAATTTCATCGAGATTGTTCATGAACCGTTCCTCTTCCTCATTGCTTGATTTTGTCCAGGCCAATGGCAAGTGTTTTGAAACAACAGTTCGATCTTGAAAAAATTCACCATTTATATATCGATTAGCAATATCTTTTAAACAGCAAAGCCACACAAGTGTATATGCACCTTGTTCAGGTGTTCGAAGTCGAGTTTGCATTTTGGCATAAAAAGATGGCATTGCTGAACGTAAAGCCGGTGTATCTACCCAACCTGAAAAAGACTCAATAAAATTCATGGAGCTATGAATTTTTGATAATATATACCTGGGTGCCAGCTAGCGAAGAAAATTGATGAATATCGTTGTGCAAGTCGTTCCATCATAACAACTTGTTGTCGTTTATTCTGTGAATAGACGAGATCACCTTTGAATGAACTCATCTGTGTTGAATTCAAATCATCAGGATCCAATCGAGATATGTACATGCCTAGTTATAATCACAGATCTTATAGAATTTCAATAAAAAAAAATTTTCTTCTTACCTCCTGAACTTGTTGTAAATACACGAGCAGGTAGATTATTCGTAAGTACTGGAATTAGATTGGTTGTTAAAATATATGTTCCTAATGTATTCGTCGCAAAATTAGCTTCATATTCATTATCAATCAATTGTCGTTCATTGATCATACATCCAGCATTGTTACACAGAATCTTAAAATAAGGAATCAAATACTTTTCCATTAGTTTAGAAGATATCCTACGTTAAGTGGTTTCTTGGATTGAACAAACTCTTTAGTAAATTTCAGAACATCTTTTGGTTGCGACAAATCACAAATATGTAACTCAACATTATGATTATTCGATTTATATATAATTTCTTCTTGGGCTTCTTTGCCCCGTAATTCATCTCGACATACCATATAAACATGAGCTTGCCGTTTGGCACATTCAAGTGCAGTTACTTTTCCAATACCCTAAAGTAATCGTATAACTATTTCAACTTTTTTTCTCAAAAAAAAAGAAATTTCATAATATCATACCGAATTAGCTCCAGTAATCATTACATGTGTATCAGTTAAATCGACTTCTATATCAGTGTGATTAAATTCTTTAGCAGCCGATTCAAAGCCAGATCGAGTATATTCCGATAGACCTTTGATTCCAAAAACAGCAGAACGATAAAATGACATAATGAAAAATTCAATCTAAAGAGTATGTTAAACAATAGATATATATATGATCGAAATTGAATATATTTTATTCAGATTCATATTTAAATCCAAATAAGAATCACATCGACGTACCGTCTGTTATATAACAGTATGATAAACAAGAGAACGCAAAATTTTTGTTGCGTTCTATCGTTTTCTTCGGTTTGTATTGACAAACATTAACGAGAGAAATGTGTAGTTCGTTTTTATCATCACTTTATACTCCTCGACATAAAGATTAGAAAAAAAGAATAACAAATTCGTACACACGTGGTAATGAAAGAAAAAAATTATACCGTATTATATAAGAAACATCTTTTACTAGAAATTTCAAATCTATTCTCAGCTAGGACTAATGACTAAACAATTTCTCATAAGCTAAATTAGGTCAACCAGAAGACTATGAAAACGAACTAGAAAATGGTAATTATCGTCTATCGATTAATTATCTTAAGTCATGTATACTCAATCAAAAACAAATTCGTTTGAATTGTGAAGTTCAATGTGTAGAATATCTTGATGAAGAAAAGAAATCTATATCATATGATCAGATCATTTGAACAACTTCATAAGAATTTTTAAAAAATCTTTGCAAATGAATGTTTATTAATCCAACAAAAATAAGATGTAAATAATCAAATTGCCTTTGACATATTAAATAAAGCAAAGAAACGAAGATTTTTTTCTTCTTTGTGTATGTATATATCACATTCTCGTTCCACTTGAAAAAGTAATTTTCATAGATAATTAGTGGTTTATCTTTATTCGATATTGTAAATGATATCTCGAATTTCTGAGTATCAGATAAACTATATTCAGAATCTATTATAGCTGCCATGTTAACGAAATATTTGATAAAGAACGACCAATGAGAACAACTTGAATTATTTACTCACATCTTAATAAATATTCGATGTTTTCATTTTCCACCAATCCTATAAATACACGAGAAATTGATGAACACCATTCTGTTATCGTATTTGGTTAATTGTTGATGTTTAAAAACTGTTTCTCATACACGACAAAGATTGATATAAATTGTATTGATGGAGAAAATATTCTAACAAATGTCTTAATATTCGAATCAAAATATATCTTAACAAAATTTTCAAAAATACGATATATAAAACAGTTCAAATCTCTATGTCATGAAAATCACGATTAATCAGAGTTTTTTTAAAGATAGATGCAATAATTTTTTACTGTATCATATTAAGATTTCGAGAGATATTTTTCATATATATTTCTACTATAATACACTGATTGTCTTTGATTATGTTGGATCTTTGGATATCTAACTTTTCGTTGATTGTTTAAATTAGATGGAAATACCGGTTAATCTATCATATCATATATTTTACTTATTAAAAATGATTTTATTTGTAATATACAATGATATGTTCTTAATTGACTTAGTTTCCATCTTATAGAAACAAACTACTTTTGCTCGTGAAAATATGTGTTCTTTAGTTTCTTATTACATTCAGTAAATCGAAAACGTCATTAGTTCTACTAGACATCAATGTCATAATACTATTGCAATATTTTTGATTCATTAGTTATTTATGAGTAATACTACGTAAGTTGCATTTACTCAATGAGTTCTTTTCTGATCGAGTAAGCGAACAGTATGTATATAAGGTTGATTAAAGAACTAATTTTCCTAATCAATATATGTATTTAAATCCTCAATATTGATACTATAATTTCTATATTACGAAAGAAATCATTCAAGATGTTGTATACATGTCGAAGAATTTCTTATCGTCGACTGATGGTTTATCACAACATTAACAACAACTGCGTTGAATAATAATTTTGTTCCCTCGTGATTACGCAAAGTCCTTGACTGTGATGGTTATCCAAGTAGCGAGAAAAAGTATAACGTCTAGGTCCATCCATAGGAACATACAGGAAAGAAAAGAAAAAAATCAGTCTGTACATCATTTCTTTCTTCGCATTTCTCTTCTGCTTCGTATCAGTACAGTAAAAGATGAATATAAACGTACAATTTTGTTCTTCTTTGGGATAAACTATGGTTTATTTCTTATCATATTATATTACAAATATAAAAAAAGACGGAAGGAGGATGCATTTGGAAAGGGAAAGAAGAAGAAGAAGAAGAGAACACTATATAAGCAGTTACCCACAACGGATAACGAGAGAATCATTCTAAATACAATCGAAGTAATATACATACAAACAAACAATGAGTTCAGCAGATCCAAGTAAGAGTTTTTATTGTATTGTTTTAAAATTATTTAACTAAAATTGATTTCTTATTAGATGAAAAGTCAAACAGAGCAGCCGAATTAGCTGAAGCTCACATCACTAATCGAGAAACACCGGCAAGTGATCCACATAAGAAAGCTGATGCCGAAAATATAGGTTGGATGTCAGGTGATCAATTTACAATTAGTGAAACACCTGTAGCACATGTTGGCGCACAAGTTGGTACGAAGGAATAGACATTACATTTGTCAATGAACATATCAATAAAAATTTTTCCTTTTTGTTCTATAAAACCTACTCTCATCCTAAAGTTTCAATATATATATATGTATGAGATTTTTTAAATAGAACAAATCTCATGTATGTTTATTCTAATAAAATAATAAAATATACGTTTTGTTGAATCTTTCAGTTACTTTGATTTATTTAATGCAAAAGACAATCATTGAAGACTATTGTCATCGTAAATCGATATCATTTTTTGAAAAAAAAAGGTAATCAACTCTTAAGAAAAAATGGAGCATTTTCTTATCTCTAATTAACGGTAATCAGAGTCAAGAATACAGACATGATTTTACTTCTCGAGATACATACAGAGAACAAAAAAAAGTTAATAATTTAATAGAGAAGAGTTCTATTCTAAAATCGGAAGTATTATCTCTAAAACATAATGAAAGTACTCATGACCTTGATGCGTCATTATCACAATAGAACACAAATGTTCTCTTTTGGGAATGATACTTCCCGTCCCGAAACAGATTTATTTAGTATGAAATTATCAACTTTCAGACAATTTCATTCGAGTATATGAATGAATCTTAACAAAATAAATGATAATGTATTAAATAAACGAATTTATGTAGTATTATGTGACTTAGTAGAGAGAATAATTCTAAACAGAAATTTTTCTTACTTAATTATCTATTCTTTGCCAACATTACATTCATACATGAATCATATTATTAGTTTAAAAGGTTTTTTGGTACTTCTATAGGTCATGGTATTTACTATGATTGCTATTGTTGTAACGTATAACATCAGATAACATTTGTTTGATCTAAATTTTAGTTTTTGTTATATTGAAATAAATTACATTAAGATCACAAATAATAACCGTAATTTACACAACAAAATTTGACATAAATTTATTTATTTAATATCTATATTATTCATGTTACACGAGATATTTCATCATATATTCTTGTCCATATTAATCATATTTTTATATGAGACGAAGAATTTTTTAGTCTTTATTTAATTGACTTCAACCGAAAGAACACGACTTGTAACTGATATTCTAAGAGAAAAAGAAATAAATTTCTAAACAAAAACGGTTTTATCCGTATATGTTTGTTAGTTTTCTTTCTTTTTTTCTTTGATATTTTCCGATTTATCCACCATAAACACATTTTTGCGTGATAGCTCCATCCTTAAGAGTTCACAGAGATAGAATAAAGAAAAATTCTTCTTCTTTTCCGGTCACTACTGTGATTACGTTATGGTTATGTTTAACCTTATAGATGCTTTTTTTTCTTTCTTTTCCTCTCGTTGATATAGCTATACGTATGTTCTTAGTCCATTCATGTACACGTTATTATGTGTTCAGGATCCCATCTCGTCTGTTTCTATCGATATTTTTTTGTTTTCTTCTCCTTTATTTCTTTCTTTTCTGTTCGATTTCCTTGTAACCAAGGACATAGCCTATGGAAAATGGTCTATTAATTATTAACCTTCAGAAGGAACAATAAACTACATATTAAAAAAAAAGATATATGTATTTTCTTCCGTTCTATCTCTCGGATGTTCTCTTGGTTTCTTTTCTATATGTGATATCTCATAGATTTTCCAAGTATATTGTAAAAATCTTGTGGTATATTCCTTTCTAATCTTTCCCTAATATTTCATATAAATAAGTACCGATTTTCTATGTGAGTGTGTGTGAATATTCAAGTTTGTTAGATCAGAGTTCTATAACGATATATCTCTATGTTTTTTTGTTGGACTTAATAATTAAATTCGTTGGTTCTTCCTTCTTTTTTCATTGTAAAATCGATTGAAAATGATTGAATGAAAATAACAAGTAGCGTTCATCGGAACTCGATTCACTTGACCCTAGACTGTCGCAGTCTGCATGCTAATATACCTGTATTTAGATACGAATGAGAGTTAATCAAGATTAGTTTTGACTCTGAGCAGAAAATCAAATTGAATTTCTACCTTATATAAAATCAAGCATTTTTTTTTTAAAGTTTCATATTTGATGAATGAATAATAAAGTTTAAAAATACTTTACCTTTATCACAGTCAATTTTATAAAAAGTAGGATTTCAAAACAAAAACTACAGTGGAGATCTCTTTATCATTGTATATCAAAATTGATTTTGAACTCTCTTATCTATATGCACTATAGCAAGACTATTAAACTTACAAATTTATTAAAATGTTTTACGATAATGCAACTACTAGACTTTTAATATGATCAAATTACAATGCGTATGTTTTTAAGCTTCTCATTCTTGGTCTTATTTTAATAAGTCGTCGTACAGGACGTTTCGGTAGATCATCGTTTTTTTTTCAAACATGTATTAAAAATATCTGTGGATGATGATGAACGACATACTGTATAAAAATAGGTGAACATTTTTTTCAAAGTATTATAATACTCTGTATATACGGACGTTCCGTTTTTTTGTTACCAATATTTTTTTCATCTTCCTCCATATTAGAAGTAAGATTAAAGTTGCCTCATTATTTTAATTTATTCAATAAAATGATGATCTATATATAATTAAGAAATATTTCAAATATTTAAGTTACCGCTCTTTTCATACGATTGAATAAGGTATTATATATTAAATATTATGCTATTCAAATAAAACGAGAATAGCAAATAAAATTATATTATCGAAAATATACCACAGTGACATGGTTATTTGCACCAAAAAAATGGTCGTTTGTGCCATGTTACCTACAAAAATAATACATGTAAATAGATAATTCCCGTTTGTAGACCCTATCCTTTCAGTCTAGGGAAAAGGTCTATTATATTCTACATTTCTATGTATTCAATATTGTTCTGAGTTAGTTGATGATCTTTGCATAATATAATGAATATCTAAACCCCCCCCTATAATAGAAGCCCACCCCATATTAGAAGCCCCCCCGTATTAGAAGCCCACCCTGAGATGAGCAACGTGTTTGACGTATTAGAAGCCCCCCTAATTTTTCCAAAATTTTTTAAAATTTTTCATAATTTTTTCGAATTTCCCTGCTAAAGTTGCTAAAATTTCTCGATTTTAAGGTAAAATTTCGACTAACTCCTATCTAACTATGCTTAAATCTGGAAAAATTGCAAAAAATCTTCTGAAAAACTCATGAAAACCTTGAAAATCTCTAAAAACCTTCCGAATCGGTTTCCTTATCATAGTCTATGAAATTTTTTTAGGACCTAATAGAAGCCCCCTCCAAAAATTATAAACGGTAGCCAAATTAGAAGCCCAGGGGGCTTCTAATATAGGGGGGGGTTTACTAATAAGATGCATATTTTAATACACGACAGCTCTCTATAACTTACAAACTTGACGATATAAAAATTAAATACTTCTACTTTGATTCAATGAAGTAAGCTAATGTCTTGGTTGATGGTAAGATATTACTCGAAATTTATTTTTATGTTAACATAGCTTAACACATCGATATGCATTATAAAGCTCAATTAAATCTTTAACAAAGATTCCAAGGATGGGATGAGTGTGGGTGTTATATTCAATTCGTACCCACGCCCATCCTCAAGATAGTTATATGTATATGAACATGTTCTACAAAAGATAAACCATCAAAATATTCATCTATTTTTTCATGAGATTTAGTTACGCAAAAATAGTTAACATCTTGTCTTCATATAATTTCGTGTTTTCGTTCTCTATTCATATTTGTTTGCATCGAAGCGGAGATAAGGACACAAAATATTTTCAACTCTCGATAAAGAAAAAATTTAAATGTAACAACACATTCGAGTCAACATTTGATACGTTGTAGTCGTGTTTTATTTTAGATAAAATTAAGGAAAAAATGAAAACAATGATCGTTATTTTGGTGCTCGTGGCTACTTTTTTTGTGTTTGACGCAAGTTCTCAAGAATGTTCATATTATATAAAACAAGCATGTTGGTATGGTAACACTCAATCCAAAGCTAAGCAAGAGAAATGCGAAACCGATGCATTACCATTGTGCAAGCAAGGAAAGCCGTGCGAAGCATGTCATAAGGCGTGCAAAGAAGGTGATACTGAATATGGATGTATTATTTTATATTGTATGGATAGTTTCTTATGTCCATGAAAAAAATAAATAAAGCGTATAAAACAGACACTTGAAATACTTTTATTTTTTAAATCGACTATATTCAACAACATTCGAAATAGCTAGATGAGTGTGAATGTAGAAATATCTTTATTCACACCCTCTCTACTTCAGTATTTTCATAAACTTTAACTCAACACTATCAGTATTTACAAGAGCGACAATAATGGATTGAAAGTATCGTGGAGGTTTGTTCATAGTGATAGTGTCGTGATACTTATTCTCTCTCGCTCGCTACGTAAACAACATCGAAAAGAGTTTCTTGCTTCCTTCCTTCTATAATGGCACGGAGAAAATCAATGTTCATTCTTCACTCTTTCTTATAAAGAAAAGAAAAATAAAATTTGCAAAAGAACGTGATCGTTTTATTTGTCGTTTATTAAAAATAACTAGTGAGAATGATGGTGACGTTGTGAAGAAATAGTGTTTGCAACATACATGTCGTACCTTTCAAGTTACGCAGACAAACTGAAAGCAAAACTACTTCAAAAACAAGACTTAGCGTCCCCAATGAAAGTGCTAACATTCGCCGAATCATCCCAGTTGGATACAAGCTCGATTTCCACTACACGTCCTCGTCTCTTCGACCGCGAGCAACTCAACCTGGAGTCACATCAGTTGATCTGGTGCGATGCTCACGTTCACAGCGACATCACTATCGAAGATCTACGCAAAGTCGTCGACTACACCAAAATTTTTAACAGTAGCGAATCCTGTAAACAATATCTGCAGGACACGCGAGACACAGTCACTTTTCTAGTCTGTTCAGATAACATCAGCGAGCAGTTGATTCCAGAGATTCATCATTTGCACAACATTCATTTAATTTACATCTACTCTCAGAACAGAGAACACTATCAAAAGTGGTCGACTCAGTATGCAAAGGTAAGACTAGAATTGAATTTCCTCATAACACAAAACACTTTCCATTGTAGATCAAACAAGTTTATACGGACCACAAATTCCTATTACAGGAACTCGATAAAGACGTAAAGAAGTATCTTGAACAGGAAAAAGACGGACTATTTGATGACTTTGAAAAACAGGACAGAAGCACCGAATCCGGATCTAGCTCATGGTGGGTAACATTAATGGACGCTCTCTGCCATCTACCTTACCCAGTGGAAACATGCCATCAGCGGCTCATCAGTGAACTGAGGACGTACTACCATGGAAATGTTGGAGAATTACGAGTTGTCGACGAATTAGAGCATGATTATACGCCAGATAAGGCCGTTTGGTGGTACACACGGGATACCTTTCTCTTTCGCCTGATCAACAAAGCTAATCGACAGCATAATGTCAGAGTAATGTTCGCATTCGGCTACTATATCAAGGATTTATTCCTCCAGTTGAAGAAAGAACACGAGAACTTCAAAGTCACAAACGCAGACAACGTGCAGGTGAAAGTGTTTCGAGGACAAATCATGTCTGAGGGTGAAGCTGAAACATTAAAGTCTGCCTATATGGTGAGATTAAACAGTTTCTTGTCAACATCTCTCGATCGGCATCTAGCAGTCAGTTTCCTACCGGCTGCATCTTCGGTGGTAAAAGGTTGTGTACGAATTCTGATAGAAATTAACTTGAATGCCAAATGCAACTCAAAACCCTTCGGGAATATTTCACATATGAGCGAATTCTCTAACGAGAGCGAAGTACTGCTCATGATTGGAACCTTTCTACGCGTTCGAAAAAGTTTCTACAGCGAAGAAGAGAAGATTATCAAGTTGATCTTGACGCTGGAAGATGATTATATCCTTCCATTCGAGGACACGCATACGAGTCTGAAGAAGTGCATTAGTCTTATTGCTGAAAAAGTGTGTGAATATGCTTCAACAGAAGAGATTGATGCTATTTTCAATGAACTCGATGAATTATTTCCTTCGAAGGCAGAAAGATTGAAGGCCGAAAGATACAGAGCGCTAGGTGGTTTTCATGAGGGATATGGGCGGGAAAATCACACAGCAGCACTAGCGAACTACAAACAGGCACTTACAGCCTGGCAGAGAAATCCCGAGGACGATGGCGTTGAAATCGCAAAACTTCATCTACAAATAGGTCGCTTGTACTACTATAACTTGGAAGAAGAGAATCTAGGTCAAACACATTATGATTTTGCAATAGCGACCTGTACAACCGTTCTGGAGCGTTTAAAAGACGATGAAAGACAGAAAGTGGACTTATACGAAGTCTTATCAGCAGCTCACACAGAAAAGGCAGAGATGGAAAATCAAGAGAATGAAAAACAAATGGCACTTCACTACGAAAAACTTCGGCTCCAAGCTCTACTTAAGTTCTGTTCACCTATCGACAGAGAACTGGGTCTCTGTTACAGAAGCATTGGTGAGCTTCAGGATGAGATGAACATCTTTGAAGAGGCTCTAATAAATTACGAGGAAGCATGTAGAGTTTGCATCGCACAAAGAGACAACCAAGCCTTACCTCGCACTTATCAACGCATGTCCCGCATCTATGAAGATAATCTCAAGGATCTTTCATCAGCAATCAAATATCGACTTTTGAAACACGATGCGACAGTGCAAATCAATGAAATACTTCCATTTCATGATTCTCAAGAGATCGAAGATAGAAACTGTTGTGTGGCTGAGAGTCACCTACAATTAGCTGACATTTACCTTAAACTACACGACTTGGAAGCAGCTCGTCGAAGTTTGACAGCAGCAAAAAAACTATATGAAGGCATGGACTGGAAAAATAAAGTCGTGGATATCGAAGAGAAACTCTCGGCCGTTGATCGTCAAGAACAAGACACAGAATAGACTTCTCACACTGTTTTATTGAGCAGCTTGAGAGTGGGTAGTGATAGGATGTGGGTATGGATGCGTCATCTTCATACCCACACTTGAAATATTATTATCACACTGGCTATTTTCTACAATGCAGAATTTTATTTGATAAATAAAGCGATGCAGCAAAATTAAAGTAATACAAAGAGTAACAAGGCTTAAAAGAATAATTTTTAGCAGTAAGTTGATTTTCACTTGTCATTGTTACATAAGTATATGAGGTAAAAGTGAAACAATGAAAATCAATTACTATTTGAAATATTATAGAATACGAGTATATGGATGTCAGTAACGATTCTAATAATAAAGAGACTTGCTAATGATCGATATGCAATTCCAGGATATAATATGTCACAAATGTCGGTGCTGCAATTGTAAAAAATAACGTAATTTACAAAATATAATCGATTGACGCTCTAAATTATTATCCTCGGGACTTAGAGCAATTTATTCTGAGACACTCGTTATATAAAAAAAATCGTTGTTATCGTACAATCAACAATTGATTGATTTTGAAACCTGATGCGTTAAGTGCTTCCTGATAGTCGTTTCTTATCAATAGAGTACTCTTTGAGAAATGTGTTTTAACTTGAAATAATTGTTCAAAATTTTCTTTTAAGGTCTCTTCGATTTGTGCGCTTGTACCTTTGAATGATACGTCGAAATCATGAAATTCGATTGACTGTCCCAATGTATCCAGCTGTCCAGATAATGTTGGAAAACGTTTACAAACAATTTCGATTATCTTCAAAGTTGTATTATACAAAATAGGACTAGTAGAATAAATCGTGAAATACTTATGAAAATTATCTGGTAACGGCTGACCATGTTTCGAATCGAGTATTAAACGATCATCGTTAGTAAGAGGGTGATAAATTCCGATAGCATCTTCGTTAAGTATTGTACCAAGAAGAGCAGCTGCACCGTAGGCAATGCTTTTCGTACCTATGACTTTCACATAAAAATGATGTATTGAACCCCATTGTTGTGTATGAGAAATACCATCACGTAACAAAATTTCATGTTCAATATGATGGTCAACTAGAATCGAGAAATAATCGATGCCATCGATAACTTTAATGATTTTATCAAGTAGACGTTTGTGCACCAGTTGACTTTGAATGGATTTCGACACACCTATCGCGTCTCTCTTAACAGTACCCACTGAAAGAATATATGCTTGTATTTCTGCGTTGTCAACTATTGTGCCACCTAGCGAACTTGCCAATAATTGATCGACATTTTGACTAGCATCCATTGTAGAGTGAATGTAATATATATAGATACTCTATGAAAATATGTCAGTACATGTGAGAATATGGCGCACGATAAGAATAGAAAGAAAATAAAATACGTTTCTCTCTGCCAATTAATAGTACATGCATTTCTCACCAATGACATCTATATATATTTTTGTAACAATGAATAAATAATCGAAAAGATATTTCTATAATACATTCTAGAACTAAAAAACAAATATTTTTGTCATAACATATTAATTTAACTCAACGTGATTATCTAAATATTCTCGTCTTTTTCGACGATCTAATCCATATATTTGTCCGTTCGCTGATTTGACATAGACTATACAACAATTGGTGATTAAATTTAAGTAACATGCACATAACAAAAACAAAGTGTGAATATGTGTAAGCGGCTAAACAAATAAGATAATTGATATAATTACGTAGAAACACCAATCATGTCGTATAATTCAACTGTTTGACCTGTACTCGACCTCTTTCATTGTGACATAAGTGATTGATAAAATCAATTGAAAAATACAGTGAATAGCAGCAAGACAATGATGAGTATAAAAGAGCATCATTCTGTGTACGGAATAATCATTCTACAAGTGTTAAACGAATTCAATCATCAATAGATACATACATACATTTAAAGTAAGTAAAGAGATTCTATTAAAAAGAAAGTATTAAATATATGTTTATATAAGATTCTTTAACTTTGTAGATATTTGAAATGAATTCAAGCATTATTATCGTTCTTGCAATGATCTGTTTAGTTCTATTCAGTTCATTATCATATAGTCAGAATACGTTTTCAAGTAACGACAATCGTTATGATATTTTAAGTGGTTGGAGTTATGCAAATGATACAGAACATTACGTTGAAAAACGACGTCAACATGTAAGATGTGCTCGATGCGGTTTTAGTGTTTTTAAATGTTGTGAACCCAAGAAATGTGTCAAATATCGTTATGGCAGACACAAATGTAAACGAATTACAAACCACATTCATTCGTCTTAAATAAATCTCGTGTTGTTTTCTTCTCTTATTTGTGTAGTTATATTAATCTAACGAAATAAATATGTTAACTTGTTATTAAATAATATAACTGTGAGGATGTGAATGTGAGATGAAAATTAGATTGATCGATCGTTAATATATCATATTGAAACAAAGAATTCCTTCAACTGAATACAGAATGATAACTAACAGTCTTGAGCATCTTGGAAACCTGCTATTCGATTTTGCCAGACAAAACAAAGGCTTAACATCACATGAGAAAGCTTTAGAAATGTGAGAAAAACTCCATCTTGGAGGACATTCATCTGTTGCTTTAACTTTATACAATATACGTGCTACATGACGAATGCAAAAAAACCTTGCCTTCTCAGTTGGATACAATGAAAGAGTTTTACAGATATTTTGGTAATGTGAATTTACCGACGACCATCCTCACATGGTCGGTACACATATCACAATACTTCTGAAATCGAATGTTGACTTTGTTTTGATACTCTTTTATTTTTCTTTGTATATTTTCAGAAATTGAGGCTTTAGATGAGTTGTGCATATCATATTTTCTTCGTTCACACGCTAGGCAGGTGAACTTGTCCGTACATTTCTACAAACATATTTTTTATTAATAAATAAAAATATATGAAGTAAAAAAAGTTAATGTGAATGTCAACAATATTGTAAAAGAAATAATCATAATAACGATCATTCATAATTTTATTTGCCGTTGAAAAGTTTTTATTTTAAATTTTATTGACACTAAGAAATTATGTCTCTTTTTCAGTTTCTCTTTTCGTCAATGATTTTTTGGACAACTTTATTTAAGTTGACAAATACAAAACAGGAAAGTTATTTCATTATTTAAATTATATTTCAATGAATAAATCGTTTTTTTAAAATCGATATGTCGATGCTTGTCTAACCGATTATATCTTTTTAGAATGAAAAATTATTGAATCCTTCGCTATTAATGGCTCAAAATAGTGTTGGTTGATGATTGTGTATGTAAACGGTGAAAACGAGATTTTACTTGTAGCGGTACTATTGTGTTGTTTGCTAAAATTTCTTTATTTACTAATTCATAATTTACAGAAAATGTCCTCAGCTAAGTCATACTTGTTGAAATCAATAAAAGACGGGTGAATGGAAAAAATTTTTAGTTTTCTGCTTTCTCTTCATCTCACTTTCTACGAATAAACAGCATAATCAAGAACTTTCTCGATCAACAGTCAACTTTTAGAGAATTGCAAATGATCAAAAAAATGTTAATTGGTGATTTAAATTTATTGTTAATTTTCTTCACTATGAAACAAGTGTCAGGTAGAGAATTAATCTATTTTTTTCTAAATATTCTTTGATAAAAACAGGGTGCAATTCTGCATATTAAGATTAATCTAATTTATTTTCTTTTACAGTTCTTTGTCAAGGGAACAACAGCACATCAACAAATTCTTCAAACAGTATGTTTAAAAGAATTTCCGTTTGTTTTTTCGACAGAAATATTTTAAATACAAAAAAATGAAATTTTATTTTATTTTATTTTTTCTCAATATAAAAGTATATGTTTTATTTAGATGTTTCATACAATCAACCAAAATTTAATGAATGTACTACTTGGAATACAACTGGAATTAGTTTTCAACCAAATTTTACATTTAGCAACCCTTTTGGTATTTTTATTGACAGAAACAATTCAATCTATGTCGGTAATCAACCACTATATTACGTTTTTATGTGGAGTAATAATGCTATTCAACTAATAAAAACGATATCCATTAATAATGGCATCAGTGGAAATTCTATTTTTGTTACAAACAATGGTGATATTTTCGTTGATACGAATGGTGGAGTTGAGAAGCGGACATTATATTCAAATAATAGTACTACTGTCATGTATGTTAATTCGCTATGCGTGGGTCTCTTCGTTGACATTAATGATAGTTTATATTGTTCAATCGTTTCCCTTAATATAGTTAAAAAAATATGGTTAGGTAATAATCCACTGCTATCAGAAATTGTGGCTGGAACTAATTCTAGTGGCTCTAACTCGACTATGCTTAATAGTCCTCGTGGAATTTTTGTTGATGTTAACTTTGATTTATATGTAGCCGATTATGGAAACAATCGCATTCAACTTTTTCGATCGAATCAATCAAATGGAACGACAGTTGCAGGAAATACATCAATCGAGACTACGATTACACTCTGGGGTCCGACTGTAGTTGTATTAGATGGTAATGGTTGTTTATTTATTGTCGATAGTAACAATAATCGCATTGTTAGATCAACTCAAAATGGTTTTCATTGTATAATTGGATGTAATGGAAATAGTTCAGCGTCTAATCAACTACTGAGTCCACGACGAATGGCTTTTGATAATCATGGCAACATATATGTTACAGTTCCAGAGAGTAAACGTATTGAAAAATTTCTTTTGTTGACAAATTCATGTGGTAAATATAGAAGAATCGGAAAGTTTCTTAATAATCTAAATTTAAAAAGATTAAATTGATTTTTATGCATGAAGTTCTTTTCATCTGTTGTAAAAGATAATCCATATTATGTTTAGATGTTTAACTGAGAATGTGATCGAGTGTGTCATAGAATGATATAATCATTTTGTTAACAGAGTTATATTTTTCTTTGTAGAAACAACAACTGAAATTAGTTCAACGATGAATATCAACGACAATTCCAGTGTTTCTTCAATGAATGTACAACATGATACTTCAACATTTTCAATAAATCAATTAACAACGAGTTTGTTTTATGTAACATTTTTTTGTTCAGTTTAATATATAATTAATTTTTGTTCAGGTGAATCGTCCTTATCTTCATCATTCTTCGTTATGCCATTCTGTGGCAACGATAACATTGGTTTATCTTGTAATATATCAACAGCACCTTGTGATATGATGCAACTTTGTGAAAATAATGGAACTTGTATTAATAATAGTAGTATTGTTGATGGTTATTATTGTTCATGTTCACAAGGTTTCAATGGTTCAAATTGTCAAATTGATAATCGACCGTGTCAATCAAATACATGTTGGAATAATGGTTTCGTATCTTTTCATCATATTATTTCTAAAAACGAATAGATATTTCTTTTAGGTACATGTAATCAAACATCAGACACAACATTTAAATGTTTGTGTAAACCAGAATGGATTGGTATTCGTTGTGAAATACAAATAGATTATTGTCAGAATGTTACATGTTTAAATAATGGTGTATGTAAACCATTATTAGGTGATTATAGATGTGAATGTCTTAGTAAAAGTTATTCTGGTAAATATTGTGGAATAGTTTCACAAACATTAGTTGTTCATCAAACAGTATCAACATCATTTGGTTATTTATGTTACTTGATGATTGGATGTATTTGTTTGTTTTTTATTCTACTAGATATATTAAAATATTGTTTTGGAATTGATCCAACAAAAGATCAATTGAAAAGAATTCAAAGAAGAAGACGAAGAGGACGAATGAAAAATATAAAACCACCTCCACAAATTCGAAAGTTTATTTATATTAATTAATTATCTGTAGAAACAACAAATTATATTCTCATAATTGCTTTTATTGTACTCGATTTTTTTTATAAAATAATCCTGCGAATAAAAGAAAAGATTTTTATCTGAAATTCAGTCATATGATTATATTTAATTAATAATAATAATATAGAATCTTTGTTGTTAATGATGAAAGCATTTCAAAATAAAATATCAATGACATCATCAAGATTTCGATGTTTTTTCAATAGATACATTATAGAAGTATAGAATAATAATGAAAATTTACGATTAAGTGTATAATCTTGAATAATTTTAATCATATTTATTAATTCACCAGCTTTGACTGAATTTGATAATTGCAATTTTTTTTCTTTTTATTCATAGAATTTAAAATAAGTTCATGTTCTTCTTCATCTCTATCCTTAACAACAGTATCAATTCGTATTGAAAGAGACTCGTCATTTTCTTAAAGTTCATCTTAGATTCATTTCTTTGTGCAGAGAATTCAGTCAATAAAGAAGGATAATCTGGTGGGTGTTTAATAGTAGGGATGATTGAATGTGTCACAGACGACGAACGGGAAATCGACGGTAAAATTTCAATTAGTTTTTGAAATTTATTTGGTGAAAGTTGATCATGAATTCTTTGATCTTGTAAACCATTCCACCATCCATGATTAATGAAACAGTTCAGAGTGTGTTGAAATCTTTTTGTTTAAAGAAATTGATCAATAAGGGACAAAGATAATTTTTCAAAGCTAGATATAATGGAAAACATAATTCAGGTCGATTTCCAAAAATCGAAGGCAAATCGAATTGTTAATGATAGGTAGATATTATGTTGGATAAATTTCACTCCATTTTTTTTCCATATATGTCAAGAGTTGATGATATTATCTTTTGTTCATGGATAAATGATTGAAATCATTCAGCAGTGCAGTTATCTACAATTACCTATCAAAATGATTCTTCAAAGTTTCGGCTAATTCACTCTGATCTCAAATCATTTATTGGCGATAGACATCCAGTGATACGTCACTTTTCAAACCCTACAAAGTTTGTCTTCCTTGAATTAACCAATTGCCTACAATTATGTTAGATTCATCTTCATTTATGTTGATGATACGCAATTCAAACGTTCCAAGTGATTGATAATTGATCATAAAATTTCAAGAACTAAAAAAATCAAGAAGATAATCTAATAGAATTCTAATGGATTAGATAATTTTATCAGTCTATTTGTGTTTCTTTTCTGTCATATGAATCAATCTTTTACTGTTTTTTTCCTTCTATCTTGTTTTTCAATTCATTCTCATGATGAAAACACAAGCATATATGAATGAAACAAGTAATGACTCAATGTTGGTATATTCCTTTTCTTTCTTTACCTTTCTAAGACGGTATTTTATCAAGCATAGGAAAAAAACAGATACATCAAATCATCATATAAAGCTATTTCACATTACATAAATAATGACGTAATAAAAAAAAATCGCTTGTCACGGTTATTTTCAAAAGGAAAAAAGGAAGAAGAAAAAATATCATATTTATATATGGTTTTTTTTCTTTGATTTGTATTTATGTGTGTTTAGTAAGTATCTATCCAACGTTTTCTTCGATGATGAGATGATATATTTTGAAAAGCATTGAGGAAAAGAATATTATCGTTCCATTTTTTACTTGTAAGATATTACCAGTGTTTTCATCTATCGTGAGTCAACCACCTACGACAAATTTTATGAAAGTTAAATCATGATATTATAAAAGATATATTAATATGAGTACTAGCTCAAACTGATTCTGAACTTTCGAATTCATCTTTCTGTTCTAAGTAGATTTCGGTAAAATTAAGTCAATTCTAATAAGCGTTCGTGAGTGTAAGTGTGGAGTAATGAGAACTTAAACTAGTTTTATCAGCAGGACTTTCTCGCAATTAGTAATTGTTGCAACAAGAAAACTTCTTTTTCGATTTCTTCTATTTGTGAACAACGTTTCTATTGTCATTGAACTATTAAATTTATATTTATAAAAGTAGATTATTCCTTTCTTCTATAGATTTATATTCTACGACATGGCAACGGCAAAAACTAAAATATTATGTTTTGTATGTAATAAAAATAAAATAACATATCCTTGCGAAGGATGTTCAAAACACTTTTGTTTAATGGACTTAACAGAACATCGACAAAACTTAAATGAAGAATTAGGTCATATCACCAATGAATATAATGAATTAAAACAAACAATTAATGAACAAAAACAAAATCCACAAAATCATTCATCAATAAAACAAATTGATCAATTGGAAAGAAATTCAATTCAACAAATTCAACAAAAAACACAAGATTATAGAGAAATCATCATTAAGTCATTACCAACATGTATGAATGATATTGAAATGAAATGTAAAGACTTAAATGAACAAATAAAACAATTTCATGAAACTGAATGTAATGAAATTGATTTAGAATATTTAAGAAACGAATTGATGAAAATTACACAAGAATTAAATAATCCATCAAATATTTCTATTCAACAAAATCCACAATTATTTATTAATGATATTTCAATTCTTTTATCAAAAAGTAAGTTTTTAATAAATAATTCCTAGAAGAATAATTCTCATTTTCTAAAAATTCATGTTAAAAAACTATTAAAATAATTCAGAATACTATTAATTTATTTATTAACTAGATCAATAGTAATAATACTATTCATGAAAATAGAAAATTCAATTTTATTTGTATGTGAAAAAAATATGAAATATGGAATAATATTAAATTAAAGAAAAAAAGTTTCGTTAAGGACCTAAAAGATATGTTTGATTGATAAAAACAAAACTGAATTATTTTCAAATTTTTTTTCTTTTCCGAATAAAAAACCTCTAATGTTTTATGTTCTTTTTTCAGTAGAATTTCTTTTCAAAATTCAACAAAAAAAAACAAACTCAAAGTTTCATTCAAAACTAATCTTTTCTTTTTTTTCTTGGAGAAAAAACAAAATTTTCTTCTCATTGTTTTTTTCATCAAAAAGTTTTCTTTTCATGCATTTCCAGAACCCAAATTCAATAAATGGAAACAAAATGCTATCACTGTGGCTGGTGGAAATGGAGAGGGACAACAAATGAATCAACTCGATCATCCTTCAGGAGTTTTTATTGATAAAAACAAAAATATTTTCATTGCTGATCGTTATAATCATCGTATAGTTAAATGGAATTATAACACAAGAGAAGAACAAATCATTGCAGGTAGAAATGGGCAAGGAAATCGAATGAATCAATTGAATCAACCAACAGATATGATTGTTGACCAGCAAGGTCATTCAATCATTATTGCTGATAGGGGAAACAGACGAGTGATTCAGTGGATGAATCAAAACCAACAAATTCTCATTGATAATATTGACTGTTATGGATTGGCAATAGATAAACATGGATTTCTTTATGTTTCTGATTGGATGAAAGATGAAGTGACACGATGGAAAATGGGAGAATACAATGTAGGAATTGTAGTGGCAGGTGAAAATAGACAAGGAAATCAACTTAATCGTCCTACTTTTATCTTTGTTGATGAAGAACAATCTGTTTATGTATCAGATCGAAACAACCATCGTGTAATGAAATGGAGAAAAGATACAAAAGAAGGAAGAATTGTGGCTGGAGGAAATGGTCAAGGAAAAAATCTCAATCAGTTATCTGATCCTGCAGGAGTCATTGTTGATGATTTGGGTCAAATCTATGTGGCAGATTATGGGAATCGTCGAGTAATGCGTTGGCGCGAAGGAAAAGAAGAAGGTGAAGTTGTTGTTGTTGGAAATGGCCAAGAAAAGCATTCAAATCAAGTGAATCGTCCCACTGGTTTATCTTTTGATGATGAAGGAAATCTTTATGTTGCTGATTGGAAAAGTCATCGAGTTCAAAAATTTGAAATAATTTCGTGAATGAAATTTTTTGTTAAATAAAAAATTTAGAAATAAAAATTAAAGAAAAGTCAGGTTTTATTATTGAAAATCAATGAGAAAAATAGAATAAAATTTGAAGAGAAAGAAATATTTTGACAAAAGAATGAAGAAAAATCTTTTTGGTTTTTTCATTAAAATTGAATTTAATTTGCTAATCTCGATTAAGAAATCTCAAAAAATTAATGTTAATTTCATATAGAAATCTTATAATTATCATAAGATGTAAACGCAAGTTCTGTACTTATTTCAAAACTAAACCCATTGCTGCCCTTCTTTTTTTAATTAAAACTGTAATGCAGAGTCCTGAAGAGCATTTAAAACTTAAATAAATAATACGAGAACCCGTCGGTGAAATTAACTCAGCATTAATTTTATTAATTTTTCGAAATACACTTGACTTAATTGGTTCATCTCTTCGTTAAGAGATAGGGTTAGTCTGTTTTCGATTAATTCACACTAACACCATCAGTATAGTTCATAATATCTTTAGATGTGTTGACGCATTAGTTTAAAAACGTTTCATAATTGATATCTATACGTATGATTGATTGCTTTCTATTCTTTTGTTATTGTTCTTTCATTCTTTGATAACTATATCATTCCTTTAATGTTGTAGATAAAATACTCTTCGATTTACTTTACTTGAACAACTTCTTTTAGAACAGCAATCTATTAGATCTATGTAAAATCATGCGCCATCTGAAGATGACCCTTTAGCAAGATCGAAACTAGTTGTGATAGCTATATGTTTGTAGACATTCTCAAATTTCACGATGACTTATGTTGATCTAAAAGTAATTAACACAAATGAATGTCATCGTATTATAAAGCAATTTTCATACTAGTTCCGGTGAGATTTCTTCTTCTGCTTTTATGTATATATTCATATACTAATCAATGTGTATGAATTACTATAAGATATTATAATTTGAGAATGACATCAATTAAAGTAATTAGCTGAAGGTAATCAAAACTAGATGTTAATATAATAGTGCACATTGTTTTATATGTGGTTATAATAAGAATCATATTAATGAATCAACACGGAGAATGCTAGTGACTATATTTCTCCAGTTTCTTATTATTTTTCGTTAAATAGTACAATCAGAATATGTTAAAATTGACTATACAACAAGTGTTATATGTATGTTCAATTTCTCTTGGATAAGAATAGATTCCAATCAATTCTTGTTGAGTTTTTTTGATTTTCAAATGTAAATTGTGTTTTTTGTTTTTCCTCATTTCATGATCAGTATCATATTACATGTTAAAAGATAACTTTTTAAATTGTGCTTTTGTAATTCATCGTAGTTATCATTAAATAGTCTTCTTCTTCTTCTTTGTTATAAATGAAATGTAATAGATACCTATTATAACGTAGAGAAAAAACCCAAACATGCCAATTTCGGAGTTAAAATAAAAAGATAAAGAAGGACTGTATATAAGATGATGGTTACCATTAATTCTTTCATATTTTTTAAAACAAAGACGACATACTTATACACAATCCAAGGTATGGATATTATTTCACAAGAACTAGATGAGCAGTGTTAAAATATTGAAGATCTGAACCGTGTTTGAGAGGATCATATAAATTTTATTACTCGATTTTATTTGGATTATGACTGTCAATTATTCTACGAAGAAGTTGTTGATAAAATATTCTATAGACTTCGACCTCTTAACTAAATCAAGCATCCATTCATAGTTAGATATACCAGTGAAAGCGCAATCAAGTATCATTATTCGAAGAAAACATTTTCCAATTAAGAATTTATTTATCTGAAACTTATTTTCTTTGCACAAGAAATGTTATGTCCTAAATGACTTATCAATTCTGAGTGCACTTACAGTTATAGTTAGTGGTACTCTTAATTTTGAGTGTAGAAAATGAAGCATATTTGTGACTTAGGTCGAAAGAATTCCTTAGTCAAATGGATGTGATCTCTATGATGATAAATGAGTCTCATAATGATAACTTCACAAATTCAGATAAGGGCAACTACATCACACGATTTCTATAATATAATTACTGTCTTTTTAGGATAAATAAACTAACATTTTTTCTTAATTGATTTCACTTTTTCAGAACCACAATCAGCGTCACCAAGAAAAAAGTAACAACTACAGTATCATCATAGCCAACACTTGAAAATTATCTAAACCTAATTACTAAAACATGGAATATAAAAAGCCTCTTATTGGTACAAACGAATCAGAAGATATAGAGATGGCTGCAGAACGAGTGACTGTATATGATGCATCACCCGAATACAAAGTAAGTAGTGTTGTTTTTAAGCGTTCTAGTTTAGTATTGAAATTAGTTTAATATTTAATAGTTTGGGTATTAATATAAGAGTGGGGTGTGGGTGCGGGATCAGTCTCGTACCTTTACTCACACCCTCTTTGTTTAATATAAAATAAATTTTAAAAATAGATAAAATATATTAAGAGATATTTATGAAAAATACTCATTCTCAAAATAATAATTTCGGAAAGAGATTTAATTTTTTTCATTATTATTCGCGAAAACATTAACAAATTGAATAAATTCAATGGTTAGTTGCGAGAACATTCAACGCTTTTTTAAGAATTCTAAATGAATAATTTTTTTTCTAATATTTAGCCTGAATCAGAGAATAAAAACAATATTAGACGATATAATCGTCCACGAACAGGATCGTAAGTATTTAATTTATTTATTCGAAATATATCTATGATTTTAGATCTTTATTTCATCGGAAGCCAATATTGATTTTAACTATCATTGCCGTTCTTAGCCTAATAACTATTATTAGTTTTACAATATGGGCTATTTTTATTAAAAAAATCGAAACAACAATTACCACAACTGCAAGTACAAGTGTTGTATCGACAACAAAAACAACAATGCTTGCAACGTCGACAATAACAACAACAACTATGCTTACAACGTCGACTAGTTCTCATACAATAACAATGAATGGTAAAGTTGTGTTATAAAAGAAAAATAAGAATTGATATATTTCTTCGGCCCAAAAAATAAGCTCCACATCTAAATTCCAAATTTGTAGTTCGCTTACGCATCCATATTTACCCAATGATATTTCGAAATTAAATAGTCGTCCATAAAAAATCAATAATCAAATACAGGACAAATCTGTTACGAAATGGGAAGTGCTATTTTCAAAATAGAATAATAGTATTTAGTAAAATCAACAAAAGACTTTTTTCCTGATAAAGTTTTTTTCAAAAGAACTTGTTTTCATTTTACAAATACAAAACTACAAACACTTTGTGATTCTTTTCAGTAATAGTTTTCTTCAAAATTCAACAAAATATATCAAACAAAATCATCTTTTTCTTCTTTTTATCAAAATCTTTCATTTTCATCATTTTCTAGAACCAAAATGGGACAAATGGAAACAAAATGCCATCACTGTGGCCGGTGGAAATGGAGAAGGACAAAAATTAAATCAATTTCGTCGTCCTCGCGGAATCTTTATTGATCAAAAGAAAAATATTTTCATTGCTGATGTTGAGAATCATCGTATTGTTGAATGGAAATATAATGCAAAAGAAGGACAAATCATTGCAGGTGGAAATGGGCAAGGAAATCGAATGGACCAATTGAGTTATCCACAAGCTGTGATTATTGATCAACAAAATCATTCGATCATCATTGCTGATTTGAGTAATAGACGAGTAATTCAATGGTTGAATCAAAATCAACAAATTCTCATTGATAATATTGCCTGTGATGGCTTGGCAATAGATAAAGATGGATTTATTTATGTTTCTGATTATAAGAAGAATGAAGTGAGACGATGGAAAATGGGAGAATATAAGAACGAAGGAATTGTAGTAGCAGGTGGAAACGGACAAGGAAATCAGCTCAATCAACTCTACGATCCTACTTATCTCTTTGTCGATAAAGATCAATCTATTTATGTTACAGATTGGGACAATTACCGTGTAATGAAATGGATAAAAGATGCAAAAGAAGGAAAAATTGTGGCTGGAGGAAATGGTCAAGGAAAAAATCTCAATCAGTTATCTGATCCTGCAGGAGTCATTGTTAATGATTTGGGTCAAATCTATGTAGCAGATAGTGGAAATGATCGAATAATGCGTTGGTGTGAAGGAAAAGAAGAAGGTGAAATTGTTGTTGGTGGAAATGGTGAAGGAATTCAATCAAATCAATTATATAGTCCTCGTGGTTTATCTTTTGATGATGAAGGAAATCTTTATGTTGTTGATCGGGGAAATCATAGAGTTCAAAAATTTGAAATAATTTTGTGAGCGAAATTTTGATTTTGAAACAGAGAAACGAACTTTTTTGATTGTTTTTCTTTGAAATTGACTGTAATTTGAGAACTTTGATTAACAAATTTTATCATTTTCCAACTTTATTTTATTTGATTTTGAAACGATTTGTAATAAAAATTGAATTGAAAAATGAAAACAAATTTTATAAAAAATTTTAAAACAAACTATTAAACATTTTCATTGAGATGAAAACAAGAAAAAAAGAATTTCGAAAAAAATGAATAAATAGAATATTTGTAAATAAAATTCAAATTTGATTTCAAAGAGTTTTGATAAAAAGACAAAAAATATTTATTACCAGGTCCTAACTAATTGAAATGGATAACATGATTAAATATCATAATGAAATCAATTTCAAAATCTATTTTTTAAATATGTTTAGATTGTTTTGACAATAATACATTCAGCTCTTGGAAAATTTCTTTTGTTTGAAAATATTCTTTACGTGAATTATTGTAGAGATAAAAGTTTTAAATGAATTTATTGAATTATTTTTATGAGAAAATTAAAATAAAATCATTCTCAGTGATTATTCGTCAATCTAAATTTATATGGAAATTATTTTATTTTATGTTCATTAAAAATGATATATAAATTTAATGATAACAAAAATCCATGGTTATATAGATATTATTTATTATTTGGAAATAAAAGATCATTAAATTGATTAATTACATAGGACACTGAAAAAGTTTCTTTGTCGATTCTTCTCAAAGTCTCAATTTGATTTTCAGTATTCTGTTATAACTCTTAAACACATTTAGAAATATGTCCTTTGCTGTAATCTATCATTTTTTTTATACTAGATGCATCGGAGTATGTAATATAGGAGGTGGGTGTGCTTATTTTATTTATCCCACACCCACACTCTCATGCTTATATATGTTGACTTTTTATAATATGATCTTCTTGAATCTCTCAGCGTAGAAGACATAAAGGCAACTTCCTTTTCACCGAAAGAAACAATAGACTTTCACTGATAAGAACAGTCATGAATTTTATAACCATTTGCGACATTCGATTTGCAAAAACGAAATCACGTGTAAAGCATAAAAGTATATTCTTTCTATATAATCACCATCTGAGTTGCATCAACAAGCACAATCGACTGTATTATCAAGCCAACTATTCCTTGATATATTTTACATTATCATGATCAGCCTTGAGTCTTACAATAAATTAGTGGTAGTGTTCTATTCAAGGTTTGCCATGATTCTCCAGCTATTTACACTTGGATTTTTTATAGCATCATGTATCACTTGCTTCCGTCGTAAAATTATTTGGATGATAGCACTCAGTTGTTTCTTCGATTCACTTGGGGCGTCTATTGCAGCCTACACAACACGGCCTATGTCAGCAAAATCTGACGTTGCAGATTTTCTCTTCGTGCTTATTTTTATAGTACCGTTTTTTACATGCTGTCGCTTAGGCATTACTGCGAACTCACTTGATTCAAAAGAAAACTGGTATAGCCGGACGAATATCTATTATACTATTGGTCTTGTAATATATTTTATATTTAACATTCCTCTAATCTTATCAGTTATCTGGATCATTGTAGCAATTATTTTATGGCTATGGAACGCTTTTATATGGCCTTTGAAAAGCATAATATTTGGAGTACCTCAAAAGGTTTTAGTTAGCCATTTGAAAATCAATTTAACTTCTACTAATGTAACTAGTATAAGTTCTATAACAATCAATGCTACGACAACAATAATATAGACACGAATAAAAACAAGTTGATGATGTAAAGCATACTGAAAATGAATAAATAACTTTATATTCTTATATATTCCCCGACTTCCACGGAAGATTTCTACATGTTGATACAGTTTGGTCTTTCTTCACTTATATTCATCTTTTTTCTGTTATAACATTTAAGGGTGAAAGTGTGACTGTTGTAAATGATGCATATCCACATCTTCACCCATTCACTCGCTCTCTTGGCAAGAATTGAAGGTACATTGCACAAGTCATGTATCTTTTTTCTATTTTTTTCTTAATAAAATAATTTTATGTATATGAATGAAATAAATTCTGAGATGAAGAAATTTCTATTTCACAGTTTGACTCAAAACATGCAATGATAAGCTATTTACCTGAGAGCTTATTTCATTCAATACACAAAATTGTTTTATTGAGAAAAAAAGCAAAAAAAGGATTTATGGCTTTACAATACATCATAAATTCTTGTTAAGATTGATGATGAAAAAGGTTTCTACAACGATAAATTACATCCAAAAACCTCAAACGAGCTTATCTTATGGTAATAAACGGATGACGAAGATTTATTATTCTCCATTCTCTTTTTCTACCTCGTATAGAAGTGTAGAAATATGCCACCATTACTCAGAAACATATTTCAGTTTTGAGAATATTTTTTTATACAAGTTAGTCAAGTTTTACTTGGATTAACCTGTGATTGACAAAAGTTAACACGGCAATCAGCTACACATTGAGGGTGTGGATGTGGGTGTGCGACGGTGTTGATAATCCACTCAGTATTCACAATCATGCCTGCCCTCATTTATTGATCACAAGATCGAAGAAGTTGTATTGAGTGCTCCGAGAAAATAAGTCAACACCAACAGCAACCAAGAGAAGCCGATCATGCGACAGCAAAACAAAAATAAAATTTTCTGTTCTGATTATGAGAAATTTGATTGTCTTGCTTTTTTCGATGAGAAGCATTACACTTTGAAATAGATGATTAAATACTGACAGAATTAGAACATATGACAGCTTATGTGCGACCTTCTAATAAAGATAAAAATGGAAAAAAGAAGTTTTTCTATTGAGTTTCTTGTTAATAAAGAAAGACTTTGTCTTTATCTATTTAAAGAAGTATTTATATCTTGAGGGTGTGGGTGGGTGGGTGTGAGTATATATTATTTCATAAACTACCCACACCCACCCACCCACACCCACCCACACCCACCCACCCACACCCACCCACACCCACACCCACACCCACACCCACACCCACACCCACACCCACACCCACACTCACACCCACACCCACACCCACACCCACACCCACACCCACACCCACACCCACACCCACACCCACCTTCACACACCCACACCCACACCCTCAAGATGGCTGAAATTTAGGGAAACGACAGGTGGGCGCTTGAAGGTTAAGCAAATAAATAACGTCTTTTGTATTTGTCAAGGCAATCAAGTTACAAAAGTTCGAATTGTTGTCAAAAAAAGTCACAAAATCGAGAAAATTGATTATTGACGAATTCGTCGTTGGCAACTTCCGATCGATTCTTTAAATTTTGTCCAGTACAGTTTCGAGGGAAGGACAAATATAATGAAGACGAGCATCGATGGAGTGAATGAAATGAAATAAGCACAGAGATACAGCCACAAATTGCGAGATGCATTCACACATCCTGACAATAATGAAATAATGAGACGAGGCAATGATAAGAGGAGCAAAATTACAGGGCTGATCACCAGTTGTTTGTGCTCACATAACTGTTTTTGAGCATGTTCTCTGTAGCTTTGTCCAGTTCCAGCCACTGATCGTTTTCGGGCAACTCCAAAGACGATATACAAAGCAGAGAAGATGTTGATAGTAAATGGGGCGAGGAGATGGAAAAATAGAATGACTGTATTGTAATTTTGAACGAAACGAGAATAACGGGTCACACACCAAAAGGTTTTCTCCATCATATATTCTTTTGTTTTGATTTCAAATAATTCTCGGTAAAGAGGCTCATGGATTATCGTTCCCATGATACAAAACGGTAAAACTATAATTATCCATCGAGCAATGCGTTTACTTTTCTCTTTATCGAAATTGGCTCCCTTGAACACATTCATCGCTCGTTCTACCGCTACACAGGCATTGAGCCAGGTATCTAGATATACGAAAAGTTTAAGAGTAAGGTCGATAGACACACAGCCGCCACGAAGAACAGAAAGACTAATCGATAAGTCCATTTGAGTGAGAAGTACAAACCAAAACTTGACTGTGAATATAGTGATTGTGAGAAGAGAAGTAATCGATGATGCTAGAAGATATACACCACAGCCAATTTTTCGTAAGTCTTTACTTCGAAACGTTAAGAGAGAGAGCATACTGTTGATGAAACCCGCCACGAACATCAACATCGTCACAGCTACGCTCATTTTTACAGAAAATAATTGATCGTTCAACGTCATGTTCGGTCGAATTTTGTTGCGCAAAATGTCATCAAGAGTCATGCCGATGCTTTTATCATAAAACTGGCATACATAGCCGGTCAAACAATTGCTATGACTTTGAACTAAAAAATCATATGGAGTTTCGAGATTTTTTCTGCAGAAGTGAGATAATTGTTTTATGTATCGGCATATCCAACTCTTTGATGCAGTTTCCATTAGATGCAAAAAGTCATTGAGGGACTTCAATGATTTCGATAGTTTCCTTGTTAGTCACTGGGATTCTAGTAAAATCCCGTTTTTTGCTCATAAACAGAAACGATTATGATGGAAAACCTCGGACAGTCTACGTATATTACGAATATTTATGCAGGAAACTAGAAGTGCACAGCTACTTTCAATGAAAAAACGAAAGTATTCTTCTCACTTCTAAGGATATTTCAGATGGTATGGCTGACTAAAACATCCTTAATATTCATCTGCGCTTCCTCTACCAATTTCTGAGAGAAAAAAAAAAAATTACTGAAGAACCGTTTGTATTTTTCGAAATTATGAATCTTCGAAGATCTGATTTCAGCGAATATTTGAAAATGTAGCTGTGAGGCATAAAGAACTTGCTAAACTGAACAATTGATGGAAGTTTGAAAATAAACTTACTTTTTGTATCTTAATCTATGAGTATCTATAGTAGATATGGGCATGTTGGTTCCGATCCGGTTTCGAAACCAGAACCAAATTTTTTTCTAGCCCAAACTAAGGTAAGACCAGAGGCGGCTAGTTTCGCTTATATCTAGTTGTGGTATGCCAGCAGGATG